TATGTGCAACACGGGGGACATAGGAACTCTGTTCTTTTATTGAATTACTTGTATACTTCATATTCATTATCCCCCCATTTAACCAAGTGGGGACATATAGCCATAGGGTGTCTAAACCACAGAATGAATTTCAATGAAACATTTACATTATCTTTATTAAGTTATGAACTTGTGCATCTCCTTTTTACTTTTTGATCAGAATGATTTCACAGGTTTCCCATACAAAAATTTTGGGACCATGCCCTTCATATTATAGGGATGAACATCCCCCATCTGCAACTTTTCTAAACCAGTGAATGGATTTCAATAAAACTTTCGCAGATTCTTCATGACATAAGGCTAATTTTGGCACCTCCTATTTTACTTTTTGATCAGAAATATTTCGGGGGTTTCCCCATACAAAAACATGTACTTTCATATCATAATTATTATATCCCCCATCTGCAACTCCTCCTGAAACAGTAAATGGATTTCAATCAAAATTTTGTAGATTTTTCGTGACATACATTGTAATGCTATTGTGCACCTCCTATTTAACTTTTTGATCCGATTGATTTCTGGGTTCAACAAAGTAAAACATAGACATTTTGTAACCTCAACTCCTCCTTAACCCCTTATTACAATTTATCAAAAAATTTCTCACAATCATAACCATATAATGCTATCGTGCTCCTCCTATTTTTTTATCCAAACAATGGGGTTTCCCTTACTAAAACATGGACCTTGCCATTGCTTTATTTGGGGGTACCCATTTTGCATCCTCAACTTTTCCTAAACAACTTTTTACAATTTATTGAAAGTTTCTCAGAATTATAATCATATAAAGCAATTGTGCACCTATTTTGTTTTTGATAACAATTATTTTTTGGGTTTCCCTTACCAAATCATGGACTTTGCAAGTGGTGGGGCATTTTGTGAGTTTTGCTCAAGATACCTCTAGTTTATTCAATGACATATAGTTATACATAATAAATTCATTAATAAAATATGTTTACACTAAACTAAAACACACAATAAAAAACCTGTGCAGTGCTTTTTTTTCTAGCTTAAGTTATGCTATATAAAACGGAAACTTCTGTAAAGTTAACTTTAGTTACAGACCGGTTGAAGCTAGTAGTAATATTGATCCAGATATAAGGCATACATTCTACCCCTGGAATAGATTCTTAGGCCAGGGTTTTTATACGACCGCAAAAATTAAAAAATTTTTGGTCGTATATTGGTATCACGTTGTCTTCGTCGTCGTCGTCATCATCAGCGTCAGCATCGTATGAAGACAGATGGTTTCCGGATAATAGCTTTAGTATTAGTAAATAGAAATCAGTAAGATTTTAAAACAAGGTTTAATACCACTGAAGGAAGGTTGGGATTGATTTTGGGGGCTATGGTCCCAACTGTTTAGGAATTGGGGGCCAAAAAAGGGGCCCAAATAAGGATTCTTGTAGTTTCCAGACAATAACTTGTGTTAAAGTGTATGAATCTCTCTGAAATTATACCACAAGTTTCCATACTACAAAGGGAAGGTTAGGATTGACTTTGGGGGGTTATGGCTCAAACCAATTAGGAATTAGGGGCAAAAAAGAGGAAAAACAACGGTTTTTCTGGTTAAAGGACAATTGAGACAATTTAAAAGCAGTTTAAGGGAGGTAATCCAAATCAAAATCCAAATCAATTTAAATAACAATGTTTGATTACCTCCCTTACACTGCTTGTAAATTATGTATTAAGAAATGATGATTGTCTGAGATACTGACCATAACTTGAGGGAAAGAATTATTTTTTTGTAATAAGAGAAAGGGGGGAGGTGAAAAAAATTGGAGGGGGACAATTTTTCTCATTTCAGATTTCAGAAATTAAAAGAAAATTTCTTCAAATATTTTTTTTGGGGGGGTTTATATTCAACAGCATAGTGTATTTCACAAACGCAAAAAAACGGGGTAAAATTTTTTTTTTTTTGGGGGGGGGGGGGGGGGGGGGGGGTCAATTCGCATAGTGTTTTGCACAAAACGAAAAAATTGAATATAAATTCAAATCATATAACCAATTTGAAGTTCTTTGACTACAGTTATTCTGTGTCAGAAACTTATTATGTGTTAAAAATTTAATTACAATCCAAATTCAGACCTGTATCAAGCATGAATATTGTGTCCATTTTGGCCCCAACTTTTCATGGTTGGACATCTGCGGTCGTATACAGCTGCGCTCAGCGAAGCAATTTATTTAATTTTTTGGTTTACAGATCCGCTAACCCAATTCTTCCGATTTTCAGAAATAAGATTAAATTGACATTTCATGCTTTTTTATTCTCACCAACCCAAGAAATACATTATCCCAGAAATATAAGTTAAACATCTGTGTAGCAGCATTTTTCTGAAATAAAATGCATTATTTTTAGAATGTCAAAACATTATCAGAAATGATTACACATTGTGTTCTAAAAAAATAAAAATCGAAGTAATCAGTAGTGTTTATCTAAAATAGACTATAAAAACTGACCTTGAAATTTTGTTTGAGCAAATAATTTTGTGGAACGAAACCTATGTTAAAAACCTGTTACAATAAGTTCGTTTTCCTTTTTTGTCATAATTTTGCAAGATTTTTCATCTTATGAATGAAATGGACTTGTCCAAACGTGAAAGATGTCAAGTTAAAAGACAGAGTTATCCACATACAATTTGGAATTTTCTTATATCATGAATTGGAAAAAAATGTTCGTCCATATTTATTTAAAAAAAGGGATTGCCTGAAAAAGGATGAAACTGATATCCTCGTGTTTCCGATGGACGGGTCTACTTCAGGGATAGTAAAGTATAATGTCTGTGCGACGTGTTTGCAATTTTTATTTCTAGTGTTTTTGGATTGAAACTAATTAATCACCATGTCTACTGAAAGAAGGCAAAAAGCAATGTGTAGCTTTTTTCATTCGTAAAATTACCATTTTATTTACCTGTTTTTCCGTGGACATCCCCCTTTATACAATCTTATATGACAACGGCCATGCATTGTATCTTTAAAACAGCTGAGAAATAATATTTGGAACTAAGAAATGATGAAAATAAAGCTTAACAAAAACATTCTTTGTAAGCTGAAAGATATATATTTTTCATACAGATTTATATCTTGAAATTTTTTTTTTCCTCGACTTTTTCACATAGAAAATCCATAAACCAACAAATAAAAAAACCCTGGCCTTAACTATATTTGGCAAAACCTTTCGGAATTTGTGGTCCCCAACGCTCTTCAACTTCCTTTTTACATTTCCAAAGGAAATGTAAGCTTTTGCCATCACTTTGCGTCCGTTGTCGTTGTTGTCGTCCGTCCGGTGTAAACTATTTCAAACATCTTCTCCTCTGAAACTACTGAATCTATTCCAACCAAACTTAAGCTGAATGATCCTTAGGGTATCTACAATAAAGTTTGTTTTTTATTTTCTGTTTCGTCAAAAAACATGGCTGCCATGGCTAAAAATAGAACATAGGGGTAGAATGCAGTTTTTAGCTTATATCTCAAAACCTAAAGCATTTAGAGCAAATCTGACTAGGTAAAAATGTTCATTAGGTCAATTTCTATCAGCCCTGAAATTTTCAGATGAATCTAACAACCCATTGTTGGGTTGCTGCCACTAAATTGGTAATTTTAAGGAAATTTTGCAGTTTTTATTCGGCTGTTTACGGGACGAATTATGGTATACCGTCTGTCCGTCGGTCTGTCCGTCCGTCTGTCGTCAACATGTCGGACAATAACTCAAAAACGCTTGAACCAATTCGCATGATCTTTGGTGAATTGTTTATATCTATTGACGTGAGCTCCCTTTCGTATTTTTATAAATTTTAGATTTTAAGTTTCCGATTTCTGGGGGTTTTTTCATTAAGAAAGGGAGATTTTCCAGTTTTTCGGACAATAACTCAATAACACTTACACCAATTTGCAAGAAACTTTGGTTAATTGTTTATATCTATTGACATGAGCTCCCTTTCAATTTTTATAAATTTTAGATTTTACGTTTCTGAGTTATGGGGTTTTATTCATTAAAAAAAGGGGGATTTTCCAGTTTTCGGACAATAACTCAAAAATGCTTTCAGCAGTTTTCATGAATCCTTGGTGAATTGTTTATATCTATTGACATAAGCTTCCTTTCGATTTTTATAAATTTTAGATTTTACGTTTCTGAATTATGTGATTTTATTCATAAAAAAGGGGTGATTTTCCAGTTTTCAGACAATGCTTTGAGCATCATGAAACTTTGGTGACTGGTTTATATCTATTAAGATAACCTCCCTTTAGTTTTTCATGAATTTCTGAGATGACATTGAGAAGTCATTGAACTTTATTCTATGAAAAGCGACAGGCGTATCATGCGCTCATGGCGCAGCTGTTTATTGGTTATTATCTTGAATATTCTTATAGATAAAGATAAACTGTAAACAGCAAAAATGTTCAGCAAAGTAAGATCTACAAATAAGTTTAATGACCAAAATTGTCAATTGACACTTTAAGGAGTTATTGCATTTTAAAGACAATTTTTCACAATTTGTTCATCTAGTTTGCTTACTTTAAAAAATCTTCTCCTTTGAAACTGCTGAATCAATTTCAGCCAAACTTGGGCTGAATGAGTTTCAGAGTATCTAGTATAAATTTTGTATTTTATTTCCTTGTACGTCAAGAAACATAGCCACTATGGCTAAAATGGAACTTTGGGGTAAAATGCATTTTGTTGCTTGTGAAGAAAATATGACGGATACAAAGAACATTTTCAAGCCACTCATTGATTTATATTGAAAAGCAAAAATAATCATTGATGAAAAATTTAAGCAAAAAATTACAGGTGAGCGATTCAGGCTCTTGAGAGCCTCTTGTTTATTTGGCCTTTTAACTTTTTTGGGTCAAGCGTCACTGATGAGTCTTTTGTAGACGAAGCACGTGTCTGGCTTTTTATAAGGTCTGTTACTACAGTTTCAATGTCATTTTTTTTATATGTTATTTATTTTCTTGTGTTGCAGGTTCATTTATCAACATTTCACAGATGATTTCCTGTGTAGGACAACAGGCCATCAGTGGAAAGAGAGTGCCAAATGGATTTGAAGACAGAGCATTGCCTCATTTTGAAAAGCATTGTATGAATTTGGAATTATACTTACAAAATTTGTATGCCCCACCGCCGTAGCGGAGGGGGCATTAAGTTTTACCCTTGTCCGTCTGTTCGTACGTACGTCCGTACGTCCCAAAATTGGTTTCCGTTCTCTTACTTTAGTTTGCCTCAACCAAATGTTATGATACTTATACCACAAAACACAGATCAAGTTTGAATTTTGGTGGCGTCACTTTTACCACTTTAGAGTTATGCCCCTTTACAAATGGAAAAATTGCTGAATTTTTCGTTTCTGTTCTCTAACTTTAGTTTGCCTCAACCAAATTTTATGAAACTCATGCACAATGCTTATTACCACAAAACACAGATCAAATTTGAATTTTGGTGGTGTCACTGTTACCGTTTTAGAGTTATGCCCCTTTATAAATGGAAAAATTGCTCAAATATTTGTTTCTGTTCTCTAACTTTAGTTTGCCTCAACCAAATGTTATGAAACTTATACACAATGCTTCTTACCACAAAACACAGATCAAGATTGAATTTTGGTGGCGTCACTTTTACCGTTTTAGAGTTATGCCCCTTTATAAATGGAAAAATTGCTCAAATATTTGTTTCTGTTCTCTAACTTTAATTTGCCTCAACCAAATGTTTGAAACTTATGCACAATGCTAATTACCACAAAACACAGATCAAGTTCGAATTTTGGTGGCGTCACTTTTACCGTTCTAGAGTTATGCGGCTTATGCCCCTTTATAATGTTATATGCAAGCGGGGGCATCATCTGTGTCCCATGGACACATTCCCCATTTATTTATATGTGCAATATGAAAACTCTTTCCTGCAGTGACGCCTACATAACTTACAGAATTTTAATAAAACTTTCTCAATGCAGTATTGCAATTATTTTTTGGAAAGATTGGAATTATTGTTTCAAGCACAGGTTAGCTACTAAATCTACAAAATGTATACACACTGAATTAGTCCCCTATATTTCTCATGTCTGTGTACAAATGCACATATGAACTGTGAAAAATTTTGGTTATATCTTTGTAGCAGTTCATTCAAGTATTTATGTCTTTAAATTTTTGTCAATTTGCAGGCTAGTTTTGTCATTTTAATTACGTAAGAGTAATGATACAATACCAATATGATTGACAACTGCCATGATCACCAAACAATCAGAGGCAAGGAGGGGCCTTAATTACTATGTCCCAACTCCTAAATGCCAATCATATTGACCAAATTCCTAATAAACCTCAATCTTACATAATTAAACAGACCATTCATTATACATCTCAATACACAAATACTTGACCTCATTATTGAATACACAAATGTATATATTAGATGTTTATTATGTAGAAATGATAGCTTTATTCATTACCTATTACTTTTGATCTACGCTACATAAAGTGATTCTATAAATTATGTCTGAAAGATAAATGATTAATTATAAACAGGATCTTTTAATCAATAGAAAAAACAAAATGTGAAATCTACATATAAAAAAAGGTATTCAAGTGATGAATACAGGAAGTGTATTTTTGCAATTAAGAAAGAATCCCCATTTCAATAAAATAAGTTTTTTAATTTGTTTTCATTGGAAAAGTACATTTTGAAATTTCATTGCACTTTTCCAGAAAATATAAAATTATTAATTGAATTGAAATACACTCTACAACTTTTAATTTTCAATGTCATATAATCATGATAATTGTTTTCAAAATCAATAAGCAATTCTTCGAGGGAGAAAAATAGAATAGCTATGTTTCAACTTACAAAATGGCCCCAAAACAACCTTTTTATACGACCGCAAAAATTTTTGCGGTCGTATATTGGTATGACGTTGGCGTCGTCGTCGTCGTCCGAAGACACATTGGTTTTCGCACTCTAACTTTAGTTTAAGTGAATGGATCTCTATGAAATTTTACCATAAGGTTCAATACCACAAAAGGAAGGTTGGGATTGATTTTAGGGGTTATGGTACCAACAGTTAAGGAATTAGGGGCCAAAAAGGGGCCAAAAATAAGCATTTTTGTAACTTCCAGACATAACTTGTGTGTTAGTGTATGGATCTCTCTGACATTGTACCACAAGGTTCCATATCACAAAGGGAATGCTGGGATTGATTTTGGGGGTAATTGCCACAAAATATTAGGAATTAGGGGCCAAAAAAGGGGCAAAAAACAAGCATTTTTCTAGTTTCATGACAATAACTTGTGTGTAGTGTATGGATCTTTCTGAAATTGTACTACAAGGTTCCATATCACAAAGGGAAAGCTGGATTTGAGTTTGGGGGTAATTGCCCGAAACGTTTAGGAATAAGGGGCCAAAATGGGGCCAAAAATAAGCATTTTTCTAGTTTCCAGACAATAACTTGTGTTCAAGTGTATGGATCTCTCTGAAATTGTACTGCAAGGTACCATACCACAAAGGGAAGGCTGGGATTGAGTTTGGGGGTGATGAATCATATGGGGGTTCAAAAAATTTGGGGGGGGGGGGATTTTTTTTTTTTTTTCCTTTTTTTTTCTTTTAAAATTTTCCATTTTAAGTTGGTTATTTCTGATTTATATTTAAAAGCAAATAATAATGATATGGTAGGAGATACACACCAAACAGGATGTGTAAATTATTATATATAAGTATTGTGCAATAGCAAGAAATTTTCAATTGCACAGTATTGCACAATAGCAAGAAATCTTCAATTGCACAGTATTGCGCAATAGCAAGAAATCTTCAATTGCACAGTATTGCGCAATAGCAAGAAATATCCAATAGCACAATATTGCGCAATAGCAAGAAATTGTCAATTGTGCAGTATTGCGCAATAGCAAGAAATATTCAATTGCACAGTATTGTGCAAAAGAAGATACTTCGTATAAATTGCTTATTTCTTGACCATTTTCAATGGGGTTTTATTCTTGAATTTTTGGGGTTCTTTAATATGCTGAATCTAACCGTGTATGAAGTTTTTGGATTTTGGGCCCAATTTTTAAATTGGTCCACATTGAGGTCCATTGGGTCCAAAATTTAACTTTGTTTGATTTCATCAAAAATTTAATTATTGGGGTTCTTTGATATGCCGAATCTAACCGTGTATTTAGATTCTTAATTTTTGGTTCCGTTTTCATATTGGTCTACATTAAGGTCCAAAGGGTCCAAAATTAAACTAAGTTTGATTTTAACAAAAATTGAATTCTTAGGGTTCTTTGATATGCTGAATCTAAACATGTATTTAGATTTTTGATTATGGGCCCAGTTTTCAAGTTGGTCCAAATCGGGGTCCAAAATTAAACTTTGTTTGATTTCAACAAAAATTGAATATATGGGGTTCTTTGATATGCTGAATCTAACCATGTATTTAGATTTTGGATATTGGACCATAATAGGTGAATGTCCAATTTAAAATTTTTAAGTTCTTAGACCACATTCATTCTGTGTCAGAAACCTATGCTGTGTCAAATATTTAATCACAATCCAAATTCAGAGCTGTATCAAGCTTGAATGTTGTGTCCATACTTGCCCCAACTGTTCAGGGTTCGACCTCTGCGGTCGTATCAAGCTGCGCCCTGCGGAGCATTTTATTACATTTATTTTTGGAGACAATAAATTTTAGTTTCAAGTATATCTGTTGGACCCATGTCCTGCAATGATAATTGATCAACTTTATGAGAAGAATCTTTATTTGGTAATTTCTTCTGTTTCTAAAGATAAAACATAAAAGGTGAAACATGTAGTAGGGAACATTATTTGGTTAAGATATGAAATTACAATTTAAACAAATTTGTTGTGCAAATGAAGGGGCGGGCTATCATTTATTCACATTAAACTCATTTTATCTACTGAAAAAGTGCTTTATATCCTTCTAAAGACATGCAGTTAATGCAATTGTCAGCAATAATGCTATATTAATGTTCTTTTTTCGTCCACACCGTACCTAAATATGATTTGAAATTATTCAAACTACTCTTCCAATCTTTCCATGAGTGATTTTCATCACTTTTATTATTTAAACACAAGTGAACCAACGCCTGGTAAATCTTCTGTCGGTAGATTCCATAAAGTGGATACCTCGGGTATGCAGGGTCGTTACGATAAAAACATAAAATGTAGAAGGTCCAGTAACAACAATAAGATTCCCTAAAGTGTTGTTGTTACTGGACCTTCTACACTTTTATTGTTTGTTAGATACAAAGGATTTTTGGGGTTTCTTCTAGAGGCTCTTTTAAAGATTTTTTCCATTTAATGAAATTGTGCTTCTCCTGTTGCTTATTGAGTCATTTTGTTTTTTTACCAAATCAAAACCTGGTCTTTGTCATATTAACAAAGGGGTAAACACATCTTGTAACCTTAACTTTTCCATAAAGAACTGACAATCCTTTCATAAAAAATTAAATGGTAGAATATTTAATACCTAATAACATTGTGACTTTTTAGAATTAAAACTTGCAGTTTGTCATATTTATGCATATGGGTGACGCTGTGTTTGTAGTTTTTCAAGTATCAAAACCCCAGAAACAATTGATAAAGTTTTGTGTGATTGGGTTTCTGTTTCTTTAATTTATACTCTCACCTCCTTTATTCATAACAAATATAAAAGGAAAGAATTCAATGTTTTATAAAAATTTACATGCATGATTAATTTAAATGTATTTTCATCTCACATTATTATTCTTTAGCAAAAGATCCAGCAGCTAGAGGTTTTGTAGAGAACAGTTTCTATTCTGGACTAACTCCAACTGAGTTTTTCTTCCACACAATGGCTGGTAGAGAAGGTTTAGTGGATACAGCTGTCAAAACAGCAGAAACTGGTTACATGCAGAGGAGATTGGTTAAAGTAATTATTTTTTTGTTAGTGATTAAGTTAGCAATACATTTTGTATTGAAAAAATTAATTAAATGTACAAAAAGGCCTTGCAACCAGAGAATTTGTTTTGGAAGCATGTGAATCACTTTTGTTGTTTACTTGTAGAACCTTCTTATATGCTTATTTCAAAATCACAAATAATTTTAATTGATTAAAATTCTTTATAGATTAAACCTTTTATGACAGTTACCAATTTAATAATGTTATATATTTCCGCTATATTTTTCAGTCACTGGAAGATCTCTGTAGTCATTATGATCTGACTGTGAGGACCTCAACCAATGACATAGTCCAATTTATATATGGTGGAGATGGCCTCGACCCTGTTCACATGGAAGGAAAGGACCAACCAATGGATTTCAGAAGAGTATTAGACCATATCAGGGTATCTACCAAATTTTTAATGTTATCTATAAATTTCTGTTAGAGATTTAAGGTGCACAAAGACAAATTCATGAATTAAAAAAATACATACAATATACAGTTACCTTTAAAGTAATTTTTCTAGCTAAGTAATGATTTTATTCAATCCAAATATATTTTGAAAATAGTTTAAACTGTACAATACAGCTTTGTGAGTGTTTTTTTATACTAGCAAGACTAGTTACATTTTAAAGATAAAAAGGGGGGGGGGGAGAAATCAAAGCCACAATTAAAAACAGACAACAACATGGCAGAAAAAACCCAACAGACAACAGGCCATAGAAATTTGCACAGCTAAAGATTGAGTAAGCCAACCCCACCAATATCAGGGGGTAAACTCAATTGATCCTTGAAGGATGAGATGTTCCTGGTTCACTAGTGGCAACCCTCTTGTTGCTCATGACTAGTAAAAATATGGTGATAAGTGTGTGGCTACAACAAGTTGATACATACTTGTGGTCACCTTTGAATTAGTTACTTAAATAATGCATGCAAAGAAAAAATATTAGCCAAAGAATTTAAAAGAGACAAATGAAGTTTACTTACTAAACATTAAAATATTGTGTGTTGAAAGATTGCATTGGTATTCAAAATAAATGATAATTTCTTTCATTTTTATACGACCGCAAAAAAATTTTTGTGGTCGTATATTGGTATGACGTTGGCGTCGTCGTCGTCATCGTCGTCGTCGTCCGGCGTCGTCCGGCGTCGTCCGAAGACACTTGGTTTTTGCACTCTAACTTTAGTTTAAGTGAATGGATCTTTATGAAATTTTACCACAAGGTTCAATACCACAAAAGGAAGGTTGGGATTGATTTTGGGGGTTATGGTAATAACAGTAAAGGAATTAGGGGCCAAAAAGGGGCCAAAAATAAGCATTTTTGTAACTTCCAGACATAACTTGTGTGTTAGTGTATGGATCTCTCTGACATTGTACCACAAGGTTCCATATCACTAAAGGAATGCTGGGACTGATTTTGGGGGTAATTGCCTCCAAATTTTAGGAATTAGGGGCAAAAAAAGGGGCAAAAAACAAGCATTTTTCTAGTTTCATGACAATAACTTGTGTGTAAGTGTATGGATCTTTCTGAAATTGTACTACAAGGTTCCATATCACGAAGGGAAAGCTGGGTTTGAGTTTGGGGGTAATTGCCCTAAACGTTTAGGAATTTGGGGCCAAAAAGGGGCCAAAAAACACATTTTTTTCTAGTTTCCAGACAATAACTTGTGTTCAAGTGTATGGATCTCTCTGAAATTGTACTGCAAGGTACCATACCACAAAGGGAAGGCTGGGATTGAGTTTGGGGGTGATGAATCATAATGGGGGTTCAAAAAATTTTGGGGGGGTATTTATTTTTTTTTCCTTTTTTTCTTTTTTTCCTTTTTTGTTTCTTTTAAAATTTTCCATTTTAAGTTGGTTATTTCTGATTTATATTTAAAATCAAATAATAATGATATGGTAGGAGATACACACCAAACAGGATGTGTAAATTATTATATAATAAGTATTGTGCAATAGCAAGAAATTTTCAATTGCACAGTATTGCACAATAGCAAAAAATCTTCAATTGCACAGTATTGTGCAATAGCAAGAAATCTCCAATTGCACAGTATTGCGCAATAGCAAGAAATATCCAATAGCACAATATTGCGCAATAGCAAGAAATTGTCAATTGTACAGTATTGCGCAATAGCAAGAAATATTTAATAGCACAGGATTGTGCAAAAGAAGATACTTCCTATAAATTGCTTATTTCTTGACCAATTTCAATGGGGTTTTATTCTTGATTTCATGGGGTTCTTTAATATGCTGAATCTAACCGTGTATTTAGTTTTTGGATTTTGGGCCCCGTTTTTAAATTGGTCCACATTGAGGTCCAAAGGGTCCAAAATTAAACTTTGTTTGATTTCATCAAAAATTGAATTATTGGGGTTCTTTGATATGCCGAATCTAACTGTGTATTTAGATTCTTAAATTTTGGTTCCGTTTTCAAATTGGTCTACATTAAGGTCCAAAGGGTCCAAAATTAAACTTTGTTTGATTTTAACAAAAATTGAATTCTTAGGGTTCTTTGATATGCTGAATCTAAACATGTATTTAGATTTTTGATTATGGGCCCAGTTTTCAAGTTGGTCCAAATCGGGGTCCAAAATTAAACTTTGTTTGATTTCAACAAAAATTGAATATATGGGGTTCTTTGATATGCTGAATCTAACCATGTATTTATATTTTTGATTTTTGGGCCCCGTTATCAACTTTGTCCACATTGAGGTCAAAAGGGTCCAAAATTAAACTTTGTTTGATTTCATCAAAAATTGAATTATTGGGGTTCTTTGATATGCCGAATCTAACCGTGTATTTAGATTCTTAATTTTTGGTTCCGTTTTCAAATTGGTCTACATTAAGGTCCAAAGGGTCCAAAATTAAACTAAGTTTGATTTTAACAAAAATTGAATTCTTAGGGTTCTTTGATATGCTGAATCTAAACATGTATTTAGATTTTTGATTATGGGCCCAGTTTTCAAGTTGGTCCAAATCGGGGTCCAAAATTAAACTTTGTTTGATTTCAACAAAAATTGAATATATGGGGTTCTTTGATATGCTGAATCTAACCATGTATTTATATTTTTGATTTTTGGGCCCCGTTATCAACTTTGTCCACATTGAGGTCAAAAGGGTCCAAAATTAAACTTTGTTTGATTTCATCAAAAATTGAATTCTTGGGGTTCTTTGATATGCTGAATCTAACCATGTATTTAGATTTTGGATATTGGACCATAATAGGTGAATGTCCAATTTAAAATTTTTAAGTTCTTAGACCACATTCAATCTGTGTTAGAAACCTATACTGTGTCAAATATTTAATCACAATCCAAATCCAAAGCTGTATCAAGCTTGAATGTTGTGTCCATACTTCCCCCAACTGTTCAGGGTTCGACCTCTGCGGTCGTATCAAGCTGCGCCCTGCGGAGCATTTTATTGTTTCTTTATATAATATTTGATTTTCAGACATGTGATAGCACTAAAGTAAGAATGACTCATAGTGAACATCCAACACTGTTTCTTGCATTTGATATCACTGTGTGATCATTACTCATTCTAAAAAAATTATCATTTTCAAAAGAAACTCTGACATTTGAAATGAAATTGTTGCTTCCTTAAATCTCTCTTGAACAAGTACTGATTACAGTTTAGAAAAACATTAAAAAAATAATTAAATAATTAATTGCTATTTAAATAAAGTGTCTAAAACACCCAACATTTATACCTAAGTCTCTATGTACAGTTTGATGTATTCTTGGCTCTAGCTGTTTAAAATGGTTTGATGAAGGCCACAGAATCTTTCAAATGCTTCTTTTGGCTGGTTTTAGAAAATAACTATTGATTGACAAAATTACTATATAACTAAGAAGACACAGAAGAAGATAAAATGTATGGTACTGCAAAACCAACGCTGTCTAAAACCAATCTATACTGATTTGTTGTTCTTTATATTTGAAAAGAGTTCTTTAGCCAGCAATGTTAACACAATCTTATTGGGTTAAAGAAATTACACCACTGTATTTCCAATATTAAAAAACTGTTTAGGTCATTTGTATTCGATGAAATGTTCATGCATAACTGTATACAATATCTAAATTGCCTAAGTATTTCAAAGGACACCCATTGATGATGTGAACTGTAAAGGTATAAATAACAGAGATAAATGATTTTTTTTATTGCTTGTCTATGTGTGTGTGCTATTTAAATGAAAAACTTGTCACCAAAGACCTTTCCTCAGTACACATTTTCTTTGATGATTTTTTTCATTTTCACATTTACAGTTTTTTGCATATGCAGTTTCTAAGCAAACTAATTCAAAGTTTATATAATACTATTAACCAACCAATACATGTGTAATTTAAACAAGTAAACAAGTTGAATGTGCTATAAGTTTGAAGATTTTGAACATTTATATGCTGTGCAATTTCAACATATCTCCGATTTCTGCATCTCATACTTATCCAACTCTACCACACTATTGTAGGCCAATACACAAAGTGAAGTTCAACAGGAGCCATCATTGAGTGGTCCACAGCTGATCCAGTTTGTTGAAGAAGTTTTAAATGAAGAAAGATTTCAGGATTGTAGTGATGACTTTAAAGCAGATCTAAGGTATAAAAAATAAACAAAGCTATTTCAGTTATCATGTGCCCATGTAAACAGAGAGTAAATAAATATATCTGAGTTACCTATGTAAACAGAGATATAAAAAGATCTGAATAACCTATGTAAACAGATCTGAGTCATGTATGTAAACAGAGATATAGATACATCTGAGTTACCTATTTTAACATATATATATACAGTCAAACCTGCCTTAAAGGGGCATTAGCTACGAGATATAATAAAAAAATAAAATATGATTTTTTTTTGTTCAATCATTAATGAAAGTGAAATCGTGAAATAACAATTCGATTCTAGCAGCCAATTTGGTTCAGTTTTGTCAAAATAAGCTAAGAAACATCGCTGATGAATTATTCACTTACAAGTGAATAATTCGACCTCATTGAATCCGTATTCATGTGACCTTCAATTAAAACCTTTCGCTGGAGATGGGTTACGCATGTCTTCAGATATTTATACGAAAAAAATGTCAACATTGAAAGTGAAACAAGGATGAACCATTTGGTTTACTGATTCGATCCACAAAACAAGCGGCCGTATATTGGTATGACGTTGGCATTATCGTCGTCGTCGTCGAAGACACATTGGTTTTCGCACAATAACTTTAGTTTAAGTGAATGGATCTCTATGAAATTTTACCATAAGGCTCAATACCACAAAAGGAAGGTTGGGATTGATTTTGGGGGTTATGGTCCTAACAGTTTAGGAATAAGGGGCCAAAAAGAGGCCCAAAAAGGCATTTTTCTAGTTTCCAGACAATAACTTGTGTTTAAGTGTATGGATCTCTCTGAAATTATACCACAAGTTTCCATACCACAAAGGGATGGTTAGGATTGGCTTTGGGGGGTTATGGCTCAAACCGTTTAGGAATTAGGGGCAAAAAAGGGGGAAAAACAAGGGTTTCCTGGTTAATGGACAATTTAAAAGCAGTGTAAGGGAGGTAATCCAAAAACAAAATTGTACAATGTTGGATTACCTTCCTTACACTGCTTTAAAATTATCTATTTAAGACTTTTATGATGTATTTAAATGGGTAATTATGGTTGCAAACTCCATTGGTAATTTGAATTGAGATTATAACCATATCTTGAGGGAAAGAATTATTTTTTTTTTGGAAAAAGGGGGGGGGGGGGGTCAATATCCAACAGCAAAGTGTATTGCACAAAAGCAAAAAATTGAATATAAATTCAAATCATATAACCAATTCTAAGTTCTTTGACTACAGTTATTCTGTGTCAGAAACCTATTATGTGTCAAATTATTTGATTACAATCCAAATTCAGACCTGTATCAAGCGCGAATATTGTGTCCATTTTTGCCCCAACTGTTCAGGGTATGACCTCTGCGGTCATATCCAGCTGCACCCGGCGAAGCAATTTATTGTAATTTGGATATACGTTTTAGTATGTTATTAATCAAATATGAGAATTTGAGTCAAATCTGTGAACATGCATTTGACAGCTTATGCCCATTTAATGGGAAAATCCTTGATTTTTTACTTATCATCTAAATATGTTCATCATAACAAAAAAAAACACATTCACAAAGTTTTGAAAATCATCTAAATATGTTCATCATAACATAAAAAACACATTCACAAAGTTTTAAATTTATGTTCCCTCTTATAACGGAGAAAACAAGTATTTGTAACTTTTTTGTTGACATACATCATCAGGTTGTGACATTTTAACCCGATTAAGTGAATGCAGGAAAAAAATAAAATCAGTTAAAGTCTTAATCGCTTATCGCATTGTTACATAATTAAAAGCTCGAAGATTACCATTTCTCGTAGCTAATAACCACAAAAGAATAATGAAAGAAAATGAACACACATGTAACGTTTTGCATTGATTAAATAAAAAATCTTATGGTATTTATTTTCGATTAAATTTTATTTATTAATAGTTGTGATATTTTCCGGAAATATTTATTGAACACAAATTATTTACTGATATTGATCTGAAAATATTTTTTTATTTTTTGCTTTTATTTACCTTAATAATTTCATTTCAACGCAAAGTCTGTGTGAATAGAATGTGTCTGTTATTTCGGAAAGGCATTGTTTATTTCTCGGGCAGATGGGCATTTTGTAAAACAATTCGTTTATTTTACCTGAGGGCAATTAAGCCTCAAACGTACCCTTTTACAGGTGTGAATATGTTGTCATTTTAAATGGATTAACAGAAAGAGTCAGAATGGCGAGTTTAATATACCGAGATTAAATATCCAATGACAATGAGAAAAAAATAATTGTATGAATTCATTGAAAATAAATTTCAAATTTTTAAGTCCAGCAGTGAATAAAACTAAAAAAGGGAAAAATTTTCAGTAACATTCTCTGCAATTAACATAAAGATTCAAATATGAAGAATAAAAGAATAAAACTAATGGTATATTTCCGCTAATTAATAGAGGGATACCATTGCACATGTGTTCAATTTAGTTTACCAGAATTCTTTAACTTGTATTTCGATGTTTACGTAATAAAATTCAAATAGTAATCACCTGGAGATTATTTCATTGGGGAATCATTTTTATGCCCCCGCCGTAGCCGTGGGGGCATTAAGTTTTACCCTTGTCCGTCTGTACATACGTACGTCCCAAAATTGGTTTCCGTTCTCTAACTTGAGTTTGCCTCAACCAAATGTTATGAAACTTATACACAATGCTTATTACCACAAAACACATATCATGTTTGAATTTTGGTGGCGTCACTTTAACTGTTCTAGAGTTATGCCCCTTTACAAATGGAAAAATTGCAAAATTTTTAGTTTCCGTTCTGTAACTTAAGTTTGCCTCAACCAAATGTTATGAAACTTATACACAATTCTTATTACCACAATACACAGATCAAGTTCGAATTTTGGTTGCGTCACTTTAACTGTTCTAGAGTTATACCCCTTTATAAATGGAAAAATTACAAAATTTTTATTTTCTTCTAAATATCAAGTAATTTTTATTTTGGAGTTATCTTCCTTTGTCCATGATTATAGTTGAATCAACTACAATCAATGCTTTATACAATGCAATGTTTAATTTTGACTTCCACTGATAAAACACAGATCAAGTTGAATTTGGGTAGTGTCACTTTAACCATTATTGAGTTATGCCCCTTTATAAATCCAAAGATTGCAAAATTTTTAGTTTCCATTCTGTAACTTAAGTATGCCCAGGCCAAACATTATGAAACCTATACACAATATTCATTACCACAAAACTAAGATCAAGTACACATTTTTTGTTTCCGTTTTCTAACTTTAGTTTGCCTCAACCAAATGTTATGAAACTTATACACAATGCCTATTACTACATAATACAGATTAAGTACGAAATTTGGTGGCGACACTTTTACCATTCTTGAGTTATGTCCCTTTATAAACACAAAAATTGCTGAATTTTTTAGTTTGTCTCAACCAAATGTTATAAAACTTATACACAACCGTTCTAGAGTTATGCGTGTTTACAAATAGAAAAATTGCTGAATTTTTAGTTTCTGTTCTCTACTTAAGTTAGCCTCAACCAAATGTTATGAGATTACACACAATGCTTATTACCACAAAACTCAGTTTGGTGGTATTTTCTCTTGCATCTACCTGTTAAAACAGATGTGATTGGTGCACGGCTTCAGTTGTTATAGTACGCACAAAAATTAATTGGGCTAATTTGTCTCAATCATTGGCAATAATATCACACATCTTTTTATTCAATATAAGTCGTAATTCTTGAATATTTTGTAATCAATTTATGAAGCTTGATCGAGACATAGATCGACTCAGATACCAATTGTTCTCTTTTCTTCTATTTCACAAATGAACTGCTGAAGTCAGGAATTCGGAATATGGAAGTTATTATATATGCTCAGTTTGTATATATTTCGAAGCATTATCAAACTATGTCAGCCTAATTGACTTTCATCTTTAGAATTCCCTTTGCATTAAATATCTATGCTCTATACAAATAACTTTTACATAAATGAAATAACATATTGGGTTAACTTGGAGTGTATTCATGTATATGTAAAAAAAAACCAAACTAATACATATTTGAAGAAGATGATAATGATGGAATGGAATTTTAACGTCCAGTGACATCTATACATGCATGTCGGAACAGAAACTTGAAGTTGGCAATAGGTATTAATAAAACCCCACTTATTACAAGGTAGTCACGGTTAGTCTGAATTTCACATGCTATTTCACAAGGTTCACATTATTATACAATATAACTAACCATTGTGATGACGAATTTCTTAATCTGTTCTAGAACAATCGAATTGAAATATAAATGTGATTTTACTATGCTTATGTTCATAACTTCGAGAAAGCAAAGCAAGTTAGAGATTGATCTTAATTTAAATCAGATTGGATCTGGAGGTTATTTTCTTATTTTCAATATGAGTATACATATTTTAAAGTGTGACTATCTATAGTTCTGTAACTTTCTATCTGTATAAACCAATGATCGACAATCAGTCATCTAATTTTCAAACAAAAATTGTCATTTCAACTTTATACAACGATCATTTTGTTTTTAACTACCAAAAATCTTCATGATGAAGAATATATGTTGTCAATATCGGAGTCAAAACAAAAATTGAAACCCGTTTCAACCAAGATCTTGCAATAGAGGTGAATTCTTGAATTTCGCATGTAACACTCTTTTCAGTTTCCATTGAAAACTGCATCACTGACATTTCTTTACAAATATTATTATATTTCGAATTTTTCTTCAAATGATCAGTGCCAGAATCCACCAATTATATTTCACTGCTCACAAGAACGATAACTCTACCGATTGAAAATGCTAAAACAATTTGCCCTCATCCTAGCAATGGGCGATGTCGGAATCAGAATTTTTTGAAACTTTGTTTAAAAGGTCACCTCTTTTGACCGGTCACTTTTGATGCTTCCCACGAGTGACTGCTTAATACAGGTTTGTTAACTTTTTATACATTGTGACTTGGATGCATCTTCGCTAGCCAAGGGTTACGATCCATCCTCCTCCTCTCCACCCTTGGCGGATTAAGATAGAATTTCGTATTCACGAGTAGATTATTTCCATTGGTCGCAGTTGTAACTGGCTGCATCCAATCAAAAAGCGTCTTTAAAATGATCACGATATTTAGTAACAATTCTAAACTTCTAAATCAACTAATTGAAGTTCCTGGGTATGTTTCTTGCACAAATGTTGGAATGTCAACATATATTTTCGGTTCCTGCTTCACGAATGTCCACATTGAAGAGAGTTCAAGTGCTGTCATTGGTCAAGAATAATGTAGACGGAATGGGCTTGACTTTAATCTGCCGGTAGATGGTGCAGCATTGTAATCACAAATGATGGTTTAATCTGCCAAGGGTGGAGAGGAGGGGTACTGGATCATTATCATTGGCTAGCGAAGATGACTTGGATGGAGAGTTGTCTCATTGGCACTCATACCACATCTTCTTATTTATATTGACTGTAAATAGATTCGAGTTACTTATGCAAATAGAGATATAAATAGATTTTAGTTACTTACGTAAACAGATATAATTGTAGACCTTAGTTTAATTTTTAAATCAGACCTTAGGTACTTATGTAAAACAAAGATGTAAATCAGATCTGACCTCCCTATGTAAACAAAGATATAAATCAGATCTGAGCTACCTATGTTAACAAAGATATAAATCAGATCTGAGCTACCTATGTAAAACAAAGATATAAATCAGATCTGAGCTACCTACGTTAATAAAGATATAAATCAGATCTGAGCTACCTATGTTAACAAAGATATAAATCAGATCCGAGCTACCTATGTTTACAAAGATATAAATCAGATCTGAGCTACCTATGTTAACAAAGATATAAATCAGATATTGGATACCTTTGTAAAAAAAGATATAAATCTGATCTGAGCTACCCATGTAAACAAAGATATGTCAGATCTGAGCTACTTATATAAATAAAGATACAAATCAGATCTGAGCTACCTTTGCAAACAAAGATATCAATTTGATCTTAGCTACCGATGTAAACAATGATATAAGTCAGATCTGATCTACCTATGTAAACAAAGATATGTCAGATTTGAGCTACCAATGTAAATAAAGATATAAGTCAGATCTGAGTTAACTGTGAAAACAATGATATAAATCAGAGCTGTGCTACCTATGTAAACTAAGATATAAATCAGAAAAAGATATCAAAGCAAAATTATGTAATATCTCAGGTACTTACCTTAACAAATAAATAAATCAGAAATCAGGTACTTACCTAAACAAAAATAAATCGATTGCAGATACTTACCTAAACAAAACAGTATGCAGGGAAAGAGATAACCCTATTCCAAAATGCATAGAACAATATTATTTTTCATATATGAATGTTGCATATATTTAACCAATTTCATCAAATTTTCGTACAGCAATAGGTACCAAAAAATTGTTGACTTTATACTCAGGTTTTATTAAAATTGTTTATTTTTCCTAAGAAAGATGGACTGATTAGATAATATTAAAAGATTTATATATTATATATTGCTATTATATATGCTGTAAATTGGAAGTTATAAATAATAAAAAAATGTTTATTTTTTGAGGATTATTTTTTTTAGAAAATTCACAGAAACAGTTGCTGAAAAAATAACCAAAATAAGACAGAAATATAAAGGTTCTGATAAACGAATAAAGGCTGGAAAAGGTAGGCTCATATTTTATAATATAATTGATTTATTATTTAAATTACAGACAAATTGTGTCAACTATGGAAGAAAGATTCCACAGAATCAACTGGATGTCACATAAAAAAGTGACTTTAGCAAGTTAAGATTTATTTATTCACTGATACCATGATTTCAAATTTTCAAATGAAGAAAATGTTAGATTTATTTACAGAACACCCCTTTTTATTTTACTGTGATAAGGAAAATTAAAATGGAAATCATCAAATTTGCATCGACAAGAATGATATGCATAGTAAAATTGAGTGTTGTTACATTTAAGACTGTTAATCAGAAATTACTATTAATGTGTGCATTTCTTAATTTGAATAGTCAATGTTGTTTGACATACAAAGTTGATGCTACTCAGATAAATATTCTGTTGAAATATGCATGATGAGAAAAATATTTGCAGTTTACATAAGAAAATAAACAAGAGAATTTTAATTTTCTGCCAAACAAATATTGTAGTTCCTACCATGGATACTACACATTGATGTCACAAATGTTAAATTTAATTTACTGGCATTTTTCTTCCACATATAAGTGTCAGCCCCATGATGTCACAAATGTTAAATTTAATTTATCTACTGGCATTTTTCTTCCACATATAAGTGTCAGACCCATGATAATTAATTACTGACCGTGCGAGGGTTGTATAGCCAGTCAAGGTAGTTAATAACCCCCATCATCAATAGATTTTCAAAAGCACAAAAATGGTGTATTTCAATCTCAGAATTTCCAAGTTTTTATCACCAACTTTGTATACAGCCCAAAATTTGTTTAGTTTAAAGGGTTTCAATGTAATATTGACACAATGAACATGTACCATTTAAATTTTTTACTAAAATCAAATGCATGCCATAATCAACCTCTTGTCTTTAGTTTCAGTTTTGAGTCAACTGGAAAGAATCACTAACAGTCAGATGGACAAATTTTTATATTGCTGTAAAGACAAAAGAATGAGATCACAAATTGAACCAGGTTGGTTTTTTAGTCCCCTACCGACGAAGTTGAAGGGACTTTAGGTTTGCACTCCGTCCGTCCGTCTGTCTGTCTGTCTGTCTGTCCATCCGTCAGTCCGGCAAATCAGTTTTCCACACTTTTTTCTTTGTGCTTGAAGATATTGATTTGATATTTGGTATATAGTTTTATCAGGACAAGTTACAGATCAAGAACGGATTTTGTTTTGGTCTGATGATTTTGTGCAGAGTTATGGTCCTTGGACTTAGAAAATTCACTCAAATAATCAGTTTTCCACACTTTTTTTCGTCATGCTTGAAGATATTGATTTGATAATTGGTATATAGTTTTATCATGATAAGTTACAGATCAAGTTCGAATTTTGTTTCAGTCTGATGATTTTGTGCAGAGTTATGGTCCTTGAACTTAGAAAATTCACTTAAATAATCAGTTTTCCACACTTTTTTTCGTCATGCTTGAAGATATTGACTTGATATTTGTTATGTAGTTTACACCATGACAAGTTACAGATCAAGTTAGCATTTTATTCCAGTACAATGAATTTTTAACCGGTAGGGGACTATGTATTGCAATGAAATACTCTCAGAATGCTTCAGTCGGAAAGCTGACCCCGGTTTGACCCCATTTCTTAAAGCAACAATGGAAGTCATGTGATTACCATATATGGGCATTTTTTTACCAAAAAAAGTGAAGCCCGTTTTTTGGAATTTGTAGTTTTTTGCATGAATTAAAACTAATTTGCTTTTAAGTGAACATTCTTGAGTATATAAGAAAAATATTGATCCACTCAATTATGGATTAAACTAATTTTTTCTCTCAAAATGTGTCTTCAAAGTCTAGGTGTTGACCAAAAAAATCGGTCATTGGAAATTAAAATCGTAATTTTCTTTCTTAACTTCTCGGGAAGCTATGCTGAATTTAAATTATGTTATGTAACATAACTTTGACTATGATATGTCAAATTTGTGCCACTTAATACGCTGTAATACGCAAATGTGCCACTTCGATGTGTCGATATTTCTGACGAAGCGGGGCCGATAGTAATTTACGAGTTACGTCCCTTTGTTTGACACTCTCATCAAACTATTATTATATTAAGCACCATATGCTGTTATTTACATGAGGATATTTTTAAAATAATTTTATTGAATATATTTTGATACTAAAGACATGTGCAAAAAAATTAGCGAAACACATTTTATCACTTTTCAGAACTCAGTCTCAGTGAAATACTCAAATAGGCCCTATGTCAGTATGTGCCATAATATTATTATTCCAAGAGTTAATTTAATATTTATATTTTGGTAAGTATTTATACTGCTGTAACCAAATTATTTCAACACAGAAATAAATTTCTACTTTAATCAAACAAGGGGTAGCCAAAATATTCATGAATAATGAATCAAGACAGGATTAAAATGATCAAATACAGGAACTCCTTTTCATTACTGATACCTGATCCTACCTTTTTCATTTAAACTTAAACGAGACCATAATGAAAGTATTCTGAATGTAAATTCTTCATTATTTGAAATAAAAGGAAATTAGTTTGCAATTCTTGTATGAACAAACTAGATATAACAATAAATTTTGTCTCACTGATTCCATGCAGATTCTAATGAATGGACTCAAATTATAAAAAAAACACTAAACCAATAAATAAATGGTTCTAATCATGAACTTGAAAATAGATGAGAACAAAAAAGACTGGGTCTAATATTTTTCTTCTTCTGTTTATTTTTTTTTAACAATTATGCATTTTTATATTTATATAAAAGTATTTCAGAGCAGATTCTGAGTGCTAAGTCAACAATATTATGTTTTAGATCACAAGTCATAAGTAAGTCACACTTCATGTCAGTATGAACATGCTTTGAATAAGAGTGATTAAAATGCTAGTCTGAAAGAGATTGTTTTAAGTTTATATTTAGGACAAGACTTTTTCATTTACCTTTGGCAGTTTTGCAGGATTACTTCATCACAAATTTTTTTATAATATTATAAACGATGAATGAGTTTTGGTTAAGGTTGTGTAAAGACAGTATACGATTTCCTTACCTTCCTTGTTTTAGTTAAGTCAAACAATTCACTGACTTAAAGAGAATAATTAATCCAGTCAAATATTCACAGCTGAACTCGCCATTGCTTTTTCAAACAAACACACTAAATGTGTGTACATTGTGTAAAGATGCAAGTTGACATCGATGTGTAAGATAAAAAAAACTACAATGTCAAAAAATGTCTTTCGTTTGGAATTTAGTTCGAACGGGGTTTCCTAAGGGGTGATAGAACGTTAGACTTGATTTTTGTTTTAACTTTGAGATACTTATTATTAATTTTTTATATAGTTTGTATATTCTTTGTTTATCTGGAAAAAAAGAAGAAAAAAATAACAGACAATTTCGCATAATTCTTAAACGACAATCAAAGGCATTACGTTATTTTTAAAAGACGGACAATTTATAACATGTTTAAGTATTATTTTCTTTGATAATAAGAACCATGCTTGAAAAATTGAAAGAAATCTATTTCTGACCCTAATGGCAAGTGAGAAACAGAAAAAAGAAAAAATTCCAAATTGGCGCCAAATTATTTTTTCCGCGAAATTAACGCAATTTCAGAATGGCGGGTTTTAATATCAGTCCCATTGTTGTCTTAAGAAAGTAGCAACAACGGTCGTTTCTAAGGGCTTGCTTTCCGACTGGCTTGTTTTTATATCCTTATTGTTTGAATATTTTCTTTTAAGAATTCTTTGATGTAGACAATTTTCCAACAGTTTAATTCTTTATACTTTTAAACTCAGTTCAGAAAGTATTGTACTATATTAAAGTATAAGAATGAAAAACATGAGAAATAGAAGAAACTGCAGAAAACACACATAAGGAACCCACCAAATACAGAGTTAATCAAGACAACCTAGTAGAATTACGCAAAATCAACATAAAGCACATTCACAGTAAAAATTATTTTCAATTAACTTGACAACATTTTTAAAGAAAAGGGAACTTGCCGAAAACTCTTAAGATTCAAAATCAAACCACAAGTCCTAGACACTGCACCACAATTTTTAGTTAGATGGGAAACAGCCCAAATTAACTTCAGTCTCAAATTGGTCAAAATTCTCGTAGAATATTGGACGGAAAAGCAGAAATGAATCTCAGAGAAAAGAAAAAAGGGAAAAAACTGAGAAAAACCTTAATAGAAGAAAAGAACCGATAGTTCATTTTAAGGAACAAATATACCGTTGAACTCGTTGCGTCGAACTCTTATGTATCGAAAACTCAGATGAGTCGAAGTAATTTCTCGGTCCCGGTAAAATTCCTGTTTGATCAATGCATAATTACCTCTGATGAGTAGAACTCAGTTGATTTGAATACTCGGTTAAGTCGAGTAAACTTTATAGTTCAGTCGATGTAAAATTAATGTAAATTGACCCTGATGTCTCGAAGTTCGAAAGTAAGAAATTTCGAAATATGCAGTCTTAATGAGGGTACCGGTCTTAATGATAACAATTCAAATTGGATGTATTTCTTATGCAACCTAATCATTTTCAAAAGAGATTAAAGCTGTGTAAACATACTTGTTTGTATAACAGTTAAAATGACATGTTTATGGTGACCTAACATTCTTATTTAACTTTCACTTTCACTTTCTGTTTATACAATAACATCATCTGATTTTTGCTAACCACCTAACCTGAAATATTTGTACTTCTAAAGATGCAGTCTTAATGAGGGTACCGGTCTTAGTGATAACAATTCAAATTGGATGTATTTCTTATGCAACCCAATCATTTTCAAAAGAGATTAAAGCTGTGTAAACATACTTGTTTGTATAACAGTTAAAATGACATGTTTATGGTGACCAGTAATTAACACCTTTGTTGATTGTCCAAGCAGAACTTTATTGTGTTATATTTTACCTCACATTTAGAACATACTCACCCCTTCTCGTCCAATAGAAAATCAGTTTTTTCCTTCTTATTTTCATTAGAATATAGCAAAGTACTCTCGACCAATGAAATTGTAGAATTGGATGCCTCTTAATTGTGAAGAATGAATGTAAATCATGTTCTTAGTAAGGGATTATCCTATTATTTAGGTCTATTTACTGTAACAGTTCAAAACAAAGAGTTTCTATAAATGAGTTACAACTGCCCCGAAGCATATTTATCAGATTGAAAGGATTTATCACACAGTAATTGAAACTGACTAAAAGTTGAATTGTGAAACAAACAAAAATCTCAAAATAAGTTGAAGTTTACTGATGCAGTAAAATTGATTCCGTGAATTTTATTATGAAAATATTAATAACTTCAAATTACTATAAATTAAACAATATTAAAGCAATGCAAAAAAAAAAATTAAAAAAAATCTTTCAGATAAAAAATAACCTAAATCTTTAGCTTTCCAAAACTTTGATTACTTGATCAGCGGTTGGGGAGAATAGTTATTTCCAATACATGTATTCCGATAAAAAAACAGGAATTTAATTTTGAACATATTAAAAACTTTTAAAGGCATTATTTTTGAACATTTCCCTGACATAATGAAACAGTATTAAAAACTTTTAAGGGCATTATTTTTGAACATTTCCCTGACATAATGAAACAGTATTTGATGTAAAAAGCCGGACTAAATTATTGGCTGTGAAATAAAATTTAGTTGTACCTCAAATGTATTAATTGATTTAAACTGTAAATAAAAAAGGATAATTCCTCACTAAAATATTACATGATTTACATTCATACTCACAATCAGGAAACATACAATTCCTACCTTTTCTTTTTACTGTTGTGTCACCTAATATCTATAACGCATTTTTTATAAAAATATTTCCCAAATGATAAGAAAATCCTCACATCACTAAAACTTATCCATAAATGACATGCCGAAAAAGGAAGTCATGCATCAATTATAAACATTGCACTGACAATGAAACTAATTCTTGAATAGATCATTTGAGCCTTGAGCACTTTACAATATTCTAAGTTTGTAAGAGAATGATAATCCCTTACTTCATGATAAGTACTCGCTAACGCTCGTACTTATTCATGAAGAAAGGGATTATCATTCTCTTACATATACTAGTACATGGCTTTCCATGCACTATAAAATGCTATACATGAATGACTTTTCATTGTAGATTAATTATGAAAGTGAACTTTTAATAACTACACTAATGAAGTGTACAATCCCCCGAGGCATTTTCCATAGGAAAACAGCCTACTGATTAAAGATGAAAGTGAATAGAATTATAAAAAAAACACATTTTGAAAATTGTAAATGATTATAATGGTACATATATGGAACAAAAAGAACAAAAATGAAATGGGGGCAAAGGTGTAGGTAAAGTTATCTTTAAATTAATGTTAATACCAGACCCAAAGAAAACAATGTCAGATATATAAAGCAAAGGAACTTTTTCGAAGAAAAAAAAAAATACATGTACATTCATCAAAAAAAAGTAAGTATCTGATGTTGAATGATCGTAATTCTAATATTTATTGAGTGAGTTTTATAATTGCCAAAAGTATACAAATTTCAAAAAGCTGATTTATATAACATTGCATGCTTTTTATAATCAAGAAATCTAAGGTATATAAGTATTAAATTTTACCTGAAGCAGAAGAAAAACTCAATTTTTGAACAATTTATCCTTTTTGTCCTCACAAAACTTTGTCAGTGCTATTGCATTCCATCCATTGAAATGACTATAACATATGATATACATTCCTTTTATTAACCAAGTTAACACTTCATTATAAAAAGTGAATTCTTATTAAGGTTTGAATATTACAATGGAAAGGATACTTTTGTAAGGTCACTCGAAGGTGTGAATATGTTCTAAATTGGTCAGACAATACTTGGTCATGTTTTATGAACATTTAAAACCCTCGGCTCAGCCTTGGGCTTTAAATCTTCATAAAACATGACCAAGTATTGTCTAACCTTTACAAAAAAGAAATGAATTTAGATAACCCAAGCTGAGTTTAAATGAATAGTTAGAATACAAATTCATTAATTACATTAAATAAAAAGATTAAGACAATTATAATCAATTTATAATAATTGAATGCAAAGCAAACGACCCTCAATCATAAGAAATCTTTCTGAACTTGTTTCGTTCCGCGAGTGATTTCATAATTTAAAGGAATGACCTTGTGAATATTTGTGTATTGAGTTTATTTGTGAATGTTTTATGTCTGGACTTGTGTGTTTAAATTTTATGAGGGATCAAAAAATTTAGAGATTGAATACACACTCATAAAGTGTTATATCAAAAAAAGGCACACTGTTCAAAATATCTAGTTTACACAAATCTCATGCCGTGTTTCTTTCATTTCAAATTTATGACGACACACTCGACCTCGGATAAGTCGAATACTTTTGTCCGGGCCCTTCGACTAAGACATAACAATGTTCGACTGTACTGGTATAGATACATTGATGATATCTTTATGATTTGGCCCCACAATCGCAAGGCATTTAGGCATTAAATGCCTTCATGTCGGACCTTAACGATTTTCACCACTTGTTCAAATTCACATTTGAAACAAGCGACAAGTACATCAATACAGTTCTTAGACACAAAAGTATTGATAGATAAAAATGGAAATTTAACAACCACCCTGTAAAAAAAAAACCCAAAGCCAATCCAAACTATTACACCAAAGACAAGATGAAGAAGACACCACCACACACATTTACACCATCAGCACTTAGGAAATGGCAGTAAAATTGTCAAAATACTCATGCTACTAAGGCCAAAAGGAAAACAGAAACATACCAGGAATATATCATTACACATAGATATATATATGGAAAAGACACACAACACACAGAATAGACAATACTGACTCTCACAAATAACTTTATTTATATATTTATTAACTTTCACTATCTATTCTACCTAACATTCTTATTTAACTTTCACTTTCACTTTCTATTTATGCAATAACATGGCAATAACAACAATCATTGTAATCTGACTTCTTGCTAACCACCTAACCCGCAATATTTATACTTCACTGTCTATTTTCTTATGTACACTTGTTCTGAAGGTGCCATGCTTGATGGAGAAACATGTGGACGATTAAACAATTACTTTATGGTAATTTAGGAGGGTTGTTGTCTTTCATATCCATTATTTCTTACTTTTTCAAAGACAACTGTGAATATCTATAGGTATCCACTCGTTAATTACCCTTCCGCACAATCACACTCCAGGTGTTGGTTCACCATATACAACTATAAGTATAAGAAATTATAAAAGATATTGTTGTGGATATTCACCAAAGGATTCAAATGTTCCAATATTTTTTGTGTGCAGAACTTTTTGTACAGTTTCCTATACCTTTTTCAGGAACAGCTGTGGGAGCTATAGCAGCTCAGAGTATTGGCGAACCAGGTACACAGATGACACTGAAAACCTTCCATTTTGCAGGAGTTGCCTCTATGAGTATCCTTTTTTATGTATATTGGTTTTAAATATAATGTTATTATGGTTTAATTGCATTTTTTACATAGTTTGCATTAAAAGCCAAAGTCTTCCAACATCAGGTCATACATTTTGTACTTGTATTCTTGACTTTAGTGATCAATGATAGGAAGAATTCCTTTCAGTTACAGCTGGAATCCCCATTTGTTTATACAGATCCTTAACTTATATAGATATAACACAGGGTGTGCCTAGGATCAAAGAAATAATCAATGCCGCCAAGGCTATCAGTACCCCCATCATTACAGCTCAGTTAGAAGTAGATAATGATCCAGAGTATGGTAGGATGGTTAAAGGAAGAATCGAAAAGACATGCTTAGGGGAGGTAATTCTGTAAAAAATGTTTCTTACCTTAAGTTTCTTAATATTAAACCCCAGCAAACAAAGTTTTTGGGGGAATACAAGAATCACCCTGTCCGTCTGTCTGTCTATGTGCCTTGTATGAGCAACTACTGATTAGCTAGTGGACAGATATCACGTAGAACACTACCTGAGGATATGATTAATATGCATAAAAGAATATTATCATGGTCCCACATGATAAAGGGGAGATAATCAAATTTACTTACTTCAATATTGAAATATGTGGTAATAGTCTAGATCTCTTGTAAGGTGTTTCACTGACAGTTATCGTTTATATAGGTAGGAGTAAATAGGAACACTTATTTTCCTTTGTTATTCTACTTATTTCATTCTGTTAAGTTTATTAGGAGAATAGATTGAGCAAAGCGATTAGTACTAAAGATGTATTATATTGACAATTTTATATTCAGGGGCATAGCGGCCAGTACAGCAGCCGCCGTACCAATAATTTTCTTTGGTACAGCATGCTGTACACAAAATTTTTATAAAAAAAAAAAAAAAAACAAGGTTTTTACAGGAAATAACAAAGATAGAAAATTCCATTTGAGTCATACGCAATATACGGTATACATTTCATAATACCGGGTCAAGTTCCATAAGATGTATAACTGTTATATACAGTATACGTTATACAAGTTATTGAACATGACCCGGTATTAATCAAAGTACGGCATGGTTTTACTTATAAAATATAAATCTAATCTAACAAATGATTTTGTTAGATCATGGTCAGGAACAGTCATAGCACAATCAATAGCATCATCTAGGGCCTTCTACGATTGTTCTGGTTTAAACATATAGATTTCAGAACATCAGTTAAATGACTTTTTATGTATGAATACTATGACTCAGTGGCATGGAAGAACTAAAGTTAGCAATTTCTAACGGAGAAATAAACGTTGTGAGGCAATTATTTGCAACAAAAATAGTGTCATTCACTTTGCACCCACCACAAAGTTTATTTAATCAGGAAAATACAATAGATGAGTTGTCTCAAATCTTAATACTGGCCCACCTACCCGCTATAGATACAAATCAATGATTTGTAGTTGTGAAGACGAAGAGCAATGGCAACTGCCTGTATAATGCAGCTTCACTGTGTTTTACAGGTAATTAATCATAAGTAATCATTATGGTTAAACTGCACATCATATCATGCTTCTAGTCACCAGGATGGATGGGAATATAAACTAACTTGAACAACACCATACACACATTTCTTGACACTATAAATCGGTCAGAAAAATGTCAAATTTAAAGGTCAAATGCTTGAATATAAGCACTTCAGTCCTCAACTCCACTGTTTAAAGAGTTTTCTCAAAGAAACTTTCATTTTGAACAAAACATACGAAAAACAGAATGCGAGTAGTTTTCTCTTGTAATTTAACACTCTTTTGATTGGAAATTTACGAATTTTTGTCATTTAACAAAAAGTGTGACTCTTTAAATACATTTTTAAACTCCTTGTAAAGTAAATTTATGAAAAAATAAAAGACCAAATATGCAAAAGTTCCATTAGGCACTTGGTTGTATACTATTTGCCGTAATATCGTAGTTTTACCCTCTACAAATTTACAATCGACTGTGTGATAGTGGAAAAAAAAGCTGAAAGTAAGCGTCTGTGACGCTAAAATCTGAAAGCAAACGTTACGAATATATGCTGTGGATATTAATCCAGCAGTCACATAGTCGATGTGCCTTTGCCTGATCCTTAGAAAGAAAAGTAAATAATGATAGACCAGCCCTGGCCTCAGTGACTTATTTTTATTTGTCACTGACAGCAAAAAAATAAACAAAAATAAAAAATTAGTTGCTGAAGTCAGGGCTGGCCTAATACAAGTTACAAACCTGTTTAACGCTATAGGAAAGTGTTATTCCATTATATTCTCACAACTCATCCAAATCTTTGAATTTCTTTCCCCTAACCAACTTTTTTTCCTGAAATATCTGTTTTTATACGACCGCAAAATTTTTTGGTATGACGTTGGCAACGTCGTTGTCGTCGTCGTCCGAAGACACATTGGTTTTTGCACTCTAACTTTAGTTTAAGTGAATGGATCTCTATGAAATTTTACCATAAGGTTCAATACCACAAAAGGAAGGTTGGGATTGTTTTTGGGGGTTATGGTACCAACAGGGCTGAGGTGCCAAAAAGGGGCCAAAAATAAGCATTATTGTAACTTCCAGACATAACTTGTGTGTTAGTGTATGGATCTCTTTGACATTGTTCCACAAGGTTCCATATCACACAGGGAACGCTGGGATTGATTTTGGGGGTAATTGCCTCAAAATATTAGGAATTAGGGGCCAAAAAAGGGGCAAAAAACAAGCATTTTTCTAGTTTCATGACAATACCTTGTGTGTAAGTGTATGGATCTTTCTGAAATTGTACTACAAGGTTCCATATCACAAAGGGAAAGCTGGAATTGAGTTTGGGGGTAATTGTCCAAAACGTTTAGGAATAAGGGGCCAAAAAGGGGCAAAAAATAAGCATTTTTCTAGTTTCCAGACGATAACTTGTGTTCAAGTGTATGGATCTCTCTGAAATTGTACTGCATGGTACCATACCACAAAGGGAAGGCTGGGATTGATTTGGGGGGTAATTGCTTCAAAATTTTAGGAATTAGGGGCCAAAAAAGGGGCAAAAAAACAAGCATTTTTCTAGTTTCAGGACAATAACTTGTGTGTAAGTGTATAGATCTTTATGAAATTGTACTACAAGGTTCCATATCACAAAGGGAAAGCTGGGTTTGAGTTTGGGGGTAATTGCCCTAAACATTTAGGAATTTGGGGCCAAAAAGGGGCCAAAAAACAAGCATTTTTCTAGTTTCCAGACAATAACTTGTGTTCAAGTGTATGGATCTCTCTGAAATTATACTGCAGGTACCATACCACAAAGGGAAGGCTGGGATTGAGTTTTGGGGTGATGAATCATAAGGGGGTTCAAAAAATTTGGGGGGGGATTTTTTTTTCTTTAAAATTTTCTATTTTAAATTAGTTATTTCTGATTTATATATAAATGCAAATAATAATGATATGGTTTGAATAGGTAAATTAAAAATTTTTAAGTTCTTAGACCACATTCATTCTGTGTCAGAAACCTGTGCTGTGTCAAATATTTAATCACAATCCAAATTCAGTGCTGTATCAAGCTTGAATGTTGTGTCCATACTTGCCCCAACTGTTCAGGGTTCGTCCTCTGCGGTCGTATCAAGCTGCGCCCAGCCGGAGCATTTTATTCAATTTATTAAAGAAAGAATTACCTTTATCCACATTGTTATTTATTAGTTATTGTTTTTCTGCTTTTTTATGTAGATATTGAAACATTAGCCTGCGATTTACGATATTTGTGTGCAGCTTAACTTTACGTGAATGCAAGTTTCTACACTAATCATGTTTCCTTTAGAAATGGTGTTGAATTTGGGACCTCTCTCTGAATCAGCTGAAAATGTTCTAACTTCGTTTGTTTTAAGTTGTTTGAACATTTTTATGTTGCTACTTTATTTCAAGTCATCGCTTCAAAAGTTCTAGCGTTGCCATCATGATCTTATTTATCGTTATGGCAGTGTGACTATATTCACAATGAAAATAGATTTGTTCGCAGTGTCATAGTTTTCCTCATTTGTCTTACCCAGACTTGATATTATATGAGAAATTCCGCAGATCATTTACTTCTCTGTTTTTGTACAAGGAATTTTGATAATCTGTTCATCGTTCTGATCATAGTTCTGTTTACCCCCTGACTACATTTAGCGAAGATTTGATAGTCTAAAATTAGTTTCTTAATTTCACACAACGGTATACAGAATTGCACCCATTTTTCTTTCTAAAAATTTCCAAGTAGGAGCATGCCAAGACCCCTAGCAAGGTGTCCAATGCAAAGTGAAAATATTAATTTTAGCTAAGATATTCCACTTTTTCTATCCAGTTGGATTGTTGCCATTTTTGACACATTTCACGTTTCAAATAATTTTTTCTATATTTTGAAGTTGACTTTTAAAAAAAAGTGTCATAAGTCAAAATGTTGCTCATAAAAATGGGGTTTTCAGGAATGAAATATAAGTGTCAGAAGAGGGTTAGAATGCAGGATTTTGCACCATTCATCCAAAAATTTCTTGGGGGCCTTGAATTTTGGGCCAACCCCATGCTGAATAACCGCCTCTATGAGGCAAGGTGAGTCGCTTCGTGACCCATTTGATTTCCTGCTGTACCAATATAAATTTGAACGCTTGGCAACTGATATTTCATATGAAATCAAAATAGATACAAGAGTGCTGTATAGATTAGATACAAAATTTCAAGAAAGAGGGTATCATTTAAGGAGACATAAAAACAATTAATGCAGGTAATTGTGGAAAATAATTCTGTTACAAGTTCAAAGTTATTTCCTTATTTGATGTGCTTTGTTACAGTGAATTTCTATTGAAGATGGTATTTTTTATCAGGTTACTGAATATTTTGAAGAAGTATTTTTACCGGATGATTGCTTCATTCTGATAAAGCTTGATATGGCAAGGATATGTTTACACAAGGTAAGTTTTCAGAGATACCAATATAATCTGATGTAGATATCTGTAATATTAAGCTATTTCCAATCATTTAAGGAAGGAAAGTATATAAATCAAAAATAGAAATAGATAGGAAGAAAAGGAGAAAAAGAAAACTGTAAAACTCATTAAAGAAAGAAAAAAGGAGAAAACTATTAAATGAAGAAAATAATAGAAATTCATAAGGAACTAGTAAGAGTTGAAACCATTTCAGAGTGCTTAACAACACCTTTTGTTATGATGTGATGCCTATGTAGCAGTTCTTACAATTTATGCTTTATTTTGGGGTTTAGCGTGACATACAACATAACATTAATTTACACATTTTTGGTCAAACTTCTTAAAAAGTAAAATAACAAAAATACCGAACTCCAAGGGAAATTCAAAACAGAAAGCCCTTTATAAAATGGCAAAATCAAAAGCTCAAACACATCTAACGAATGGAAAACAACTGTCATATTCCTGACTTGGTACAGGCATTTCCTTATATAGAAAATGGTGGATTAAACCTGGTTTTATAGCTAGCTAAACCTTTCACTTGTAGGACAGTCACATAGAATTCCATTATATTGATGACAATGTGTGAGCAAAACAAACAGACATAATAGGTAAAAATGTCAAAAAATTGGGGTACAGCGGTCAACATTGTAATATAATCTTAATCATAATAAAAACAGATAACTGCTTAAACAAAGAAATACAAAATGGCAAATAGACAAAGTACATAAGCAAAAATGAAAGACAAGAACTCAAAATTGACTATAGCACAATGGCGGGATGTATAAGTACCAATCCATGTCATAAGTATATAATCAAAAATGGATAAACAGTAAAGGTTATAAATATACAAGGACAAAAAAGGGAACTTTAACACGTAATTAAGATGATAAACAACGTCAGTACCTAGAATCTATACTTCAAAACCATCATGTATTATTTGTGAAGTTGATGCGGAATATTTATCAACAAAGTCTTGGTATCTTCCAATGAATCTTAATTTATTTATTTAGACTATTTACTCATTAATTTTAGTTGATGTTTGTGTCTTATCTTTTTCACAGTTGGAGGTTAATGCTGGTAGTATTAAAGAATCAATATGTGTTTCCAAGTTAAAAGTAAAAGCACAGGTATGAAAATAACTTTCTTTAAAAAAAATGTCAACAAGTATAAAACAGCTTATTCAAATTATGTTGCTTATTTCCTTATTTTATAATTCATTACAGGAAAAAAAGATAATGTAAAGTGATTATTATTTTTGCAATGAAAATTTTCATGTATTTTCTAGTATGATGTCATAAAGAAGAAGGTATGATAAGGCACTTTTTTTTGCCCTTCATTTAAAAAAATAAATTATTATAGTCAGATGTCAGTATTCATAGTTCTGAATTTTATCTCACATAATTGCATTAATGCTTCAAACTCCTTGAATTTTGTGCAAAACTGCAAAATAAATTGAAATGGTTAATTTTGCTAGGGAGGTTATATATTTTAACAATTTCCTGCCAGATTGTCAACAAATGTGAAAGATAAATACATTCATTCAAACAAAACTATTTTTCAGCATGTAAAGATCCAAAGTGAGGCAGTAATCACAGTACATCCACAAGAATCCTCTAAAAGTTCAATGTATTATATTCTCCAATTCCTTAAAAAAGAATTACCCAAAGTCATGATCAAGGTGAGACCATGGAAGTATTATATTGACTGGAACTCCAACGAAAAATTAGCACATTCCCATCCTACTGATTTCTTTAAGAAAATAAAAGGTGCGGACTCAGTTTGTCAAGTACGTGATAACTCCTTTGTGGGGTATCTGCGATGCCACCTTCGCCTGTTCCGTTTACTGAAGCTGATCTTATCATGTGATTTGTTATCGAATGTCTTATCTACCTACCAATGTAAATAAACACGGAAACTCCTGTGGTTATTTGTATATCGCCACATGAATCATTTTATTTTAATTTATTTTCCTCTTAAAATTTTTCACCTGGCATGTTTCCTGATGACATTGAAAAATAGTCTTAAGGTACAAGTCCCATTGTATATTGGTCCGAGCTTGAACATATTTTTTCGTTTTAATTTAAACTTTTAAAGATGGAAATATAACATATTCCATTATATTTATGATGTTTATGATGTTAATTACACCTTATGTAAGAATCCTGGGTTTTGATTGGTTGATAGCCAGTGTATTTTTTACCAATTTAGTGTTATCAAATGAATATCGTTGATTTTTTAACGCCGCTGGGGTATATGCAAAAAGGATATGCCTTTTTTACCCTCTCTGCCGTGGTATTTGCCAAAAAATACACTATCCGACTGGACGCTTGTAACGTCACGATCATCAATGCGTTTTTGAACGTTAACATTCGGTGTAATTAAACAGATATAGCATGTTCTTGAGGGGTATTTGCGAAAAATACCAGTCTTGAGAATGAATTTCCCTCGCCTTACGGCTCGCGAAATTTAACATTCTCTCGACTGGTATTTTTCGCAAATACCCCTCTTTAACATGATATATCTGTTCAATATAGATTTATTAAATGCAGGGTATACCATCAGTGACCAGGGCTGTCATACATATAGATGAGAAGAATGAAGAACTGTATAAATTATTAGTAGAGGGAAATAATTTACAGGCAGTCATTGCTACCCCAGGTAAGTGTTAGTATATACTTAATTGGCAGTGTCATTCAGGAATAAAAGTCAGAAACCCCAATAAATGGCTATGTAAAGGTGCATTATTAAAACTTCAATTGTTCGAGTAAATTTACTGTAAAATTGAGAATGGAAATGGGGAATGTGTCAAAGAGACAACAACCTGACCATAGAACAGACAACAGCAGAAGGTCACCAACAGGTCTTCAATGCAGCGAGAAATTCCCGCACCCGGAGGCGTCCTTCAGCTGGCCCCTAAACAAATATATATACTAGTTCAGTGATAATGAACGCCATACTAAACTCCAAATTGTACACAAGAAACTAAAATTAAAAATAATACAAGACTAACAAAGGCTAGAGGCTCCTGACTTGGGACAGGCGCAAAAATGCGGCGGGGTTAAACATGTTTATGAGATCTCAACCCTCCCCCTATACCTCTAGCCAATGTAGAAAAGTAAACGCATAACAATACGCACATTAAAATTCAGTTCAAGAGAAGTCCGAGTCTGATGTCAGAAGATGTAACCAAAGAAAATAAACAAAATGACAATAATACATAAATAACAACAGACTACTAGCAGTTTTAAAACTGACATGCCAGCTCCAGACTTCAATTAAACTGATTGAAAGATTATGTCTTCATCATATGAATATCAGGCACAATCCTTCCCGTTAGGGGTTTAGTATCATACCATCATAACATATATGAGAAGAACATAACCCGTGTCATGCCAACAACTGGTTTTTAAATAAATGTGTTTAGTGCCGATGCAAAGACCCTATAAGTGAATCAATATTAACGCCAAAATATGCAATCTTTAATGACCTGACAACAGTATCGTAACTATATCCCTTCTTAATAAGTCTATTTAAAGGTTTTGTTAGCTTCAGAGGTGAATACTGACATTTTTGTGCTTTATAAAGAATATTTCCATAAAAAATTGGATGTGAAATACCTGAACGTTTAAGAAGTCTGCATGTTGAGCTATATTTACGAATGATGTCCTTATACCGATGATAAAATTTAGTAAATGTTTTGACTAGTTTGTGATATCGAAAACCCTGGTATAATAATTTTTCAATAATACATAAATTTCTCTCGTTAAAATCTAAAACATTGTTACATACACGAGCGAATCGTACAAGTTGAGATATATAAACACCGTAAGATGGTGACAAGGGAACGTCACCATCTAAAAATGGATAATTAACGATAGGAAATGAAAAATCATCTCTTTTATCATATATTTTAGTATTAAGCTTTCCGTTAATGATATAGATATCAAGATCGAGGAAAGGGCAGTGGTCATTGTTAGTATTAGCTTTATTTAAAGTAAGTTCAACAGGATAAATTTCTTTAGTATACATACTGAAGTCGTCATTATTGAGAGCCAAAATATCATCCAAATATCTAAAAGTATTATTAAATTTGTGTATCAGATGTTGTTTCGATGGGTCTTTGCTGATTTTTGTCATAAATTGTAACTCATAGCAATACAAAAAAAGGTCCGCAATAAGTGGTGCACAGTTAGTCCCCATTGGAATTCCGATAACCTGACGATATACGGAATCTCCAAAGCGAACAAAAATGTTATCTAGTAAAAATTCAAGGGCATATATAGTATCAAAGCATGTCCAATTGACATAGTTTTTTTGTTTATTGCTACTAAAAAATGACCTAAAAGAGTTTGAACATATATATTCACATTCTGACTTTTTAAATGCCCATTTAATTAGGTGTGTGAATTTTTTCTTAATGAGAATGTGAGGCAATGTGGTATATAGGGTAGAAAAATCAAAACTTTGAACAGATTCAAAATCACCAATATATGCATGCAATTTATCAAGTACTTCCAACGAGTTCTTGACACTCCAAAAGTAATTAATTCCACTATTTTCGATTGCTAAATGTATTATTTTTGAAAGTATAATAAGAGACAATGTATATCTGCTTCATATATTATAAATATATCAGCCTGAAATAGGTATAGATTTCATTTTTGTCCATTTTTCTAGAAATCCATCATCTTTTTCAACTTTATTTCATGATTTCATATTTGGCATCATCACTCGCCCATTGAAATTTTGGTTGATTTTAGGGGTCATGGTCCAAACTGTTTAATAATAAAGGGCCGAAAAGGGGCCAAAAAACTAGGATTTTTTGAAAAGTAAAGACTAAGGTATATTAAAAATATTTCCGAAAAAATATCTGTGGGCAAGGGGTGGCGCCACTGTTAATTTTTTAGAAAACTGACATAAATTTCCTCAAATTATGCCAAAAATCAAGCATTTACAAATTCACCTACATTTATGACGTCAGAAATACATCACTAATGACGTAATTGGTCAAAAATCTTTTATAACTGAAACAATTGAACTTTTTATACGACCGCAAAAATTAAAAATTTTTTGGTCGTATATTGGTATGACGTCGTCGTCGTCGTCGGCGTCGTCCGAAGACACATTGGTTTTCGCACTCTAACTTTAGTTTAAGTCAATGGATCTCCATGAAATTATACCATAAGGTTCAAGACCACGAAAGGAAGGTTGGGATTGATTTTGGGGGTTATGGTACCAACAGTTAAGGAATTAGGGGCCAAAAAGGGGCCAAAAATAAGCATTTTTGTAACTTCCAGACAATAACTTGTGTGTAAGTGTATGGATCTCTCTGACATTGTACCACAAGGTTCCATATCACAAAGGGAAGGCTGTAATTGATTTTGGGGGTAATTGCCTCAAAATTTTAGGAATTAGGGGCCAAAAAAGGGGCAAAAAAACAAGCATTTTTCTAGTTTCATGACAATAACTTGTGTGTAAGTGTTTGGATATTTCTGAAATTGTACTACAAGGTTCCATATCACAAAGGGAAAGCTGGAATTGAGTTTGGGGGTAATTGCCCGAAACGTTTAGGAATTGGGGGCCAAAAAGGGGCCAAAAATAAGCATTTTTTCTAGTTTCCAGACAATAACTTGTGTTCAAGTGTATGGATCTCTCTGAAATTGTACTGCAAGGTACCATACCACAAAGGGAAGGCTGGGATTGAGTTTGGGGGTGATGAATCATAAGGGGTTCACAAAATTTGGGGGAGGGATTTTTTTTTTTTTCTTTTTTTTTCTTTTTTTCCTTTTTTTTTTCTTTTGAAATTTTCCATTTTAAGTTGGTTATTTCTGATTTATATTTAAAAGCAAATAATAATGATATGGTAGGAGATACACACCAAACAGGATGTGTAAATTATTATATAATAAGTATTGTGCAATAGCAAGAAATTTTCAATTGCACAGTATTGCACAATAGCAAGAAATCTTCAATTGCACAGTATTGCGCAATAGCAAGAAATCTTCAATTGCACAGTATTGCGCAATAGCAAGAAATATCCAATAGCACAATATTGCGCAATAGCAAGAAATTGTCAATTGTACAGTATTGCGCAATAGCAAGAAATATTCAATTGCACAGTATTGTGCAAAAGAAGATACTTCGTATAAATTGCTTATTTCTTGATCAATTTCAATGGGGTTTTATTCTTGAATTCTTGGGGTTCTTTAATATGCTGAATCTAACCGTGTATTAAGTTTTTGGATTTTGGGCCCCATTTTTAAATTGGTCCACATTGAGGTCCAAAGGGTCCAAAATTTAACTTTGTTTGATTTCATCAAAAATTTAATTATTGGGGTTCTTTGATATGCCGAATCTAACCGTGTATTTAGATCCTTAATTTATGGTTCCATTTTCAAATTGGTCTACATTAAGGTCCAAAGGGTCCAAAATTAAACTTAGTTTGATTTTAACAAAAATTGAATTCTTAGGGTTCTTTGATATGCTGAATCTAAACATGTATTTAGATTTTTGATTATGGGCCCAGTTTTCAAGTTGGTCCAAATCGGGGTCCAAAATTAAACTTTGTTTGATTTCAACAAAAATTGAATATATGGGGTTCTTTGATATGCTGAATCTAACCATGTATTTAGATTTTTGATTTTTGGGCCCCGTTATCAACTTTGTCCATATTGAGGTCAAAAGGGTCCAAAATTAAACTTTGTTTGATTTCATCAAAAATTGAATTCTTGGGGTTCTTTGATATGCTGAATCTAACCATGTATTTAGATTTTGGATATTGGACCATAATAGGTGAATGTCCAATTTAAAATTTTTAAGTTCTTAGACCACATTCATTCTGTGTCAGAAACCTATGCTGTGTCAAATATTTAATCACAATCCAAATTCAGAGCTGTATCAAGCTTGAATGTTGTGTCCATACTTGCCCCAACTGTTCAGGGTTCGACCTCTGCGGTCGTATCAAGCTGCGCCCTGCGGAGCATTTTATTAACATATGCCTTCATATAATTTTCACAACATCATTGCAGTTAAAAAATATCAGGTTTTTAGGGCCAAAATTATGAGTTAGTGAATTAACTCCTTTGTATTGTAGGTAGTGAGAAAATTTCATGTTTTGTAATTGATATAGATTTGTAAATTTAAGAAAATTATAAATAAAAAGCCTGTAACATCATGATATTGAAAATATCTACACATTTTAAAGAACTGCTCTACTTTTCTTTCATTTCCGGTGAAAAGTTTATTAATAAATAATGAACCATGTCTCTAATAAAATGTATATTTTTAAACATCAAATAACAGAAAATAATTTCAGTGAAAGAAGATTTAAGTTAACATAGATGCTGCAGTGTATTATATATAGATATCATAGTACAATCTTTATTTTAACATTGAAAATTTAAGGATATTTAAGGTGAAAACCTTTAGAATCTTTATTTGTATCCAACAATGTTTCTTTAACTCATGAATATCTGTAACATCATAACTGATGTGTGCTTACACCACAATAAACTTCAAACATTCAATCAATTTACATGATGAATGTGTGCATTACAGGAATCAAAGGAACACATGTGACATCAAACAATACATTTGAAGTAGAGAAATGTCTGGGTATAGAGGCAGCTAGAAGTACTATCATTGAAGAGATCAATTACACTATGGTGAACCATGGCATGAGTATTGACATACGACATGTCATGTTACTGGCAGACCTGATGACTTTCAAGGTAAATTTTGTCATATGACATTGGGGTATATGTGATGCCATGCCAAATTCCCAGCAAGCTCAAGTCAAAGCTCAAATTTAATATTGTTTTATAAGAAAAGAACCGACGACTCATATGGACTTTTTTTACGCAAAATAATTACTAAATTTCATAAATATGCTCTGTAATAAATTTATGAGCAGGCCTAGAGGATTTTAAGCAAAATGATCATTATAGAAATTATATTGACAACATCAACATCTCATAACCAATATTTATTTTCTGTTTCCAGTACTTATTCCTGCCTTTAAAATTCTTTTGGTAAATGGAAAAATCTTTGAAAAGTAAAAGATAATAATTAGACTAATTTTAACTCATGGTGAAATTCATTTAGGGTGAAGTTTTAGGAATTACCAGGTTTGGACTGGCAAAGATGAAAGAGAGTGTACTTATGTTAGCATCAGTAAGTATCAATAGATAAAGCTTTATTTAGATGTTTTCACGCCACAAGGGTAAAGCAGATGAGAGTATGACTTTTATTTGTTTATAACTACACATTTTGAGTATGGCTGTTTTCAGTTTTGTCATGTGTAAGGGAATTTTTTTTCTTCTGTTGATGACCATTGTACCAAGCTTAATTTAGTTTTGATTTTAAACAAAATCTGTAAATAAGTTGACAATATATCAATTAAAGCAACTTATCAAATTTGGCATTGTTATCTTTAAATTACATAACCTAATAAGGCATTCTATATACAAAAAGATGAAATTTGAAGTAGCTAGGGAAAATCTTAAAGATAGAAAGCAAATTTGAACACAAGGGTAAAATAGATAATTGAATAGAAGATGTAGAACATTATATTTTTTTCTAATATGATTTGACTTCACCAGTAAATGTAAAATGTTATTTACAACTTTCAGTTTGAAAAGACAGCTGATCATTTATTTGAAGCTGCTTATCATGGCCAGAAAGACACAATAAATGGTAAGACATAATTGTATTTTTACTTATGTTTTGATTTCCATTTTATGTAATTGTTCTAATGATAAAACATGATATAAAGTTTCAAAACTGTAAATGCAGGATAGTAACTGTTTCTTCTGACAATTAAATTGATACTGATACAAAAAATAAGAAATTTCTTCCTAGAATATAACTTTCCAGGAAAACAATTCAGGATGTTTAAAGAGAATTTTTAATATGAAGTCCTTAATTGTTATGTTTTCTTATTTTAGGTGTAAGTGAGTGCATAATTATGGGAATACCAATGGGAATTGGAACAGGACTATTCAAGCTACTTCATAAATATCCTTTCAGTTATTCATTGAGAATACACCATGTGTTGTGGTACTGAAGGGGGTGGGTTGGGCAGCTGGGTTTTCAAAAACACCCCCATTCATATAGTCTTGTGAATATCATGACCCATAAATATATTTCATCGCAAAATCATAACCCATTTATATATTTCTCAGTTATCAAATATACAATTTTTATACGACCGCAAAAAAATTATTGGTATGACGTTGGCATCATCGTCATCGTCGTTATAGTCGGAAGACACATTGGTTTTTGCACTCTAACTTTAGTTTAAGTGAATGGATCTCTATGAAATTTTACCATGAGGTTCCATACCACAAAAGGAAGATTGGGATTGATTTTGGGGGTTATGGTACCAACAGTTAAGGAATTAGGGGCCAAAAAGGGGTCAAAAATAAGCATTTTTGTCTCGCCTTGACGGAGTCAAAAAGCGAGACATAGGTATGCTGTTTCCAGCGTCAGCGGCAGCGTCAACAATGTATTAGTTTGTGATTAGGTCTAGTTCATTGTGAACCACTAGTGGTTGGTCAATGATATTTGGTATGCAGTTGAATTAGCTTTGGCACATCTCATTACCATGGAGATTATTTGGCCCCGCCCCTCAGTCAAGGTCTATTGACTTTGAAACTTTTCATAGTTTACATGTATTAGTTTGTGATTAGGTCAATTTATGGGGAACCACTAGTGGTAGGTCAATGATATTTGGTATGCAGTTGTATAAGCATTGGCATATCTCATTTCCATGGAGATTATTTGGCTCCGCCCCCTTAGTCATGGTCTATAGACTTTGAAAATTTTGCTAAGTTAACATGTATTAGTTTGTGATTAGGTCAGTTCAAGGGGAACCATTAGTGGTAGGCCAATGTTAATTGGTGTTCAGTTGTATAAGCATTAGCATATCTCATTTCCATGGAGAATATTTGGCCCCGCCCCCTCAGTCATGGTCTATTTACTTTGAAACTTTTGCTTAGTTAACATGTATTAGTTTGTGATTAGATCAGTTTAAGATGAACTGCTAATGTTAAGTCAATGATATTTGGTATGCAAATTTATTGGCATTTACAAGTATCGGTTCCATGGAGATTATATAGCCCCACCCCTGATCATGGTTCATTGACTTTGAAACTTTTACATATTTTACAAGTTAATGTTTGTGTTTAGGTTTGTTTAAAGGGAACGACTTATAATAAGTCAATGGTATTTGGAGTCCAAATAATTTGGTATGCAGTTGTATTAGCATTGGCACATCTCATTCCATGGAGATTGTTTAGCCATGTACCTTCAGTCATGGTTCATTGACTTTGAATATTTGCATAACTTACATGTTAAAGTATTACTATTTTAATTTCAACATTTGCATTATCAAAATTACAAAAAGGCGAGACATATCTCTGTGATAACAGTTTATTGCAACTTCCAGACATAACTTGTGTGTTAGTGTATGGATCTCTCTGACATTGTACCACAAGGTTCCATATCACAAAGGGAATGCTGGGATTGATTTTGGGGGTAATTGCCTCAAAATTTTAGGAATATGGGGCCATAAAAGGGGCAAAAAACAAGCATTTTTCTAGTTTCATGACAATAACTTGTGTGTAAGTGTATGGATCTTTCTGAAATTGTACTACAAGGTTCCATATCACTAAAGGAAAGCTGGAATTGAGTTTGGGAGTAATTGCCCAAAATGTTTAGGAATAAGGGGCCAAAAATAAGTATTTTTCTAGTTTCCAGACAATAACTTGTGTTCAAGTGTATGGATCTCTCTGAAATTGTACTGCAAGGTACCATACCACAAAGGGAAGGCTGGGATTGATTTTGTGGGTAATTGCCTCAAAATTTTAGGAATAAGGGGCCAAAAAGGGGCAAAAAACAAGCATTTTTCTAGTTTCAGGACAATAACTTGTGTGTAAGTGTATGGATCTCTCTGAAATTGTACTGCAAGGTACCATACCACAAAGGGAAGGCTGGGATTGAGTTTGGGGGTGATGAATCATAAGGAGGTTCAAAAAATTGGGGGGGGGGATTTTTTTTCCTTTTTTTTTCTTAAAATTTTCCATTTTAAATTGGTTATTTCTGATTTATATATAAAAGCAAATAATAATGATATGGTTTGAATAGGTAAACTAAAAATTTATAAGTTCTAAGACCACATTCATTCTGTGTCAGAAACCTATGCTGTGTCAAATATTCAATCACAATCCAAATTCAGTGCTGTATCAAGCTTGAATGTTGTGTCCATACTTGCCCCAACTGTTCAGGGTTCGACCTCTGCGGTCGTATCAAGCTGTGCCCAGCGGAGCATTTTATTGACATCTTCATTTGGTAAAACAAGATAAAACAGGGTATTGATAAAAAAATCTAATGGAAAGATGATAACTAATGACCCATTGCCATTTTACCTTGGTGGAATTGCAACCCATTGATATATTTGAAGTATCAAAAAAGGGACCCGTGTAAACCTTCATTACCTTCATATAGTTCATATAGGAAGAGACCATGTGATCACACTTCTTTACTACACATGCACTATTTCAATTATACAATTTGAGTTGTGTTTTTATACGACAGCAAAAAAATTTTGGAGTCTTGTATTGCTATCTCGTCATTGTTGTCGTCATCCGAAGACATTTGGTTTCCAGACAATAACTTTAATTTAAGTGTATGGTTCTCTATGAAATTTAACCAAAAGGTTCAATACCACAAAAGGAAGGTTAGGATTGTTTTTGGGGATGATGGTCTCAACCGTTTAGGAATTAGGGGCCAAAAAGGGGCAAAAAACAAGCATTTTTCTAGTTTCAGGACAATAACTTGTGTGTAAGTGTATGGATCTCTCTGAAATTGTACTGCAAGGTACCATACCACAAAGGGAAGGCTGGGATTGAGTTTGGGGGTGATGAATCATAAGGAGGTTCAAAAAATTGGGGGGGGGGGATTTTTTTTCCTTTTTTTTTCTTAAAATTTTCCATTTTAAATTGGTTATTTCTGATTTATATATAAAAGCAAATAATAATGATATGGTTTGAATAGGTAAACTAAAAATTTATAAGTTCTAAGACCACATTCATTCTGTTTCAGAAACCTATGCTGTGTCAAATATTCAATCACAATCCAAATTCAGTGCTGTATCAAGCTTGAATGTTGTGTCCATACTTGCCCCAACTGTTCAGGGTTCGACCTCTGCGGTCGTATCAAGCTGTGCCCAGCGGAGCATTTTATTGACATCTTCATTTGGTAAAACAAGATAAAACAGGGTATTGATAAAAAAATCTAATGGAAAGATGATAACTAATGACCCATTGCCATTTTACCTTGGTGGAATTGCAACCCATTGATATATTTGAAGTATCAAAAAAGGGACCCGTGTAAACCTTCATTACCTTCACATAGTTCATATAGGAAGAGACCATGTGATCACACTTCTTTACTACACATGCACTATTTCAATTATACAATTTGAGTTGTGTTTTTATACGACAGCAAAAAAATTTTGGAGTCTTGTATTGCTATCTCGTCATTGTTGTCGTCATCCGAAGACATTTGGTTTCCAGACAATAACTTTAATTTAAGTGTATGGTTCTCTATGAAATTTAACCAAAAGGTTCAATACCACAAAAGGAAGGTTAGGATTGTTTTTGGGGATGATGGTCTCAACCGTTTAGGAATTAGGGGCCAAAAAGGGTCCCAAAACAAGCATTTTTCTAGTTTCAGGACAATAACTTGTGTATAAGTATTTTGATTGCTCTGAAATTGTACCACAAGGTTAAATACCACAAGTAGAAGGTAGGGATTCATTTTTGGGGTAATTGCCCAAACTGTTCAGGAATTAGGGGCCAAAAAGGATCTAAAACAAGCATTTTTCTAGTATAACTTGTGTTTAAGTGTATTGATGTCTCTTAAAGGGGCACTAGCTGTCAAATTCGTGTTCACCTATTTGACTCAAATTCTCATATTTGTTATGTAACAATGTAAAACATTTATCCAAATTGAAAAAAAATCTAAAATAAACAATTTAAAGGGCATAGGGTCGATAATATGTACCTCCCGAAAACCACCGATGCCCATATAAGGGATATAAACATAAATAAAGATATAAATAGATAGCGCAACTCTTACAGTTGGATTCTTCTAGGTCTATTTAATTTCATTTATAGATTAAAAATATGTGTTAATCATCATTTTTAACTGTATAAGAATGATTTTTGTGAGGATCGAATCAGTCAATTAAATGAATTACCTTTGTTTACTTTCAATGTTGACATTCTTTTCTTTTAAATAATCAAACATGCACACAATTCATGCTTTATCCAACTCTATCTAAGGGGTTAAATTGAAATTCACATGAATACGAATTCAGTGAGGTCGAATTATTCACTTGCAAGTGAATAATTCATCATCAATATTAATTTGCTTATTTTGACAAAATTAGACAATACTGGCTGCTAAAAGCAAATTATTATTTCACTATTCCACTTTCATTAATGATTGAACAAAAAAAATTATAACATAAAATCATATGTTATAATTTTTATACGACCGCAAAAAAATTTTTGTGGTCGTATATTGGTATGACGTTGGCGTCGTCGTCGTCGTCGTTGTCGTCGTCCGGCGTCGTCGTCCGAATACACATTAGTTTTCGCACTCTAACTTTAGTTTAAGTGAATGGATCTCATTGAAATTTTACCATAAGGTTCAATACCACAAAAGGAAGGTGGGGATTGATTTTGGGGGTTATGGTACTAACAGTTAAGGAATTAGGGGCCAAAAGGGGCCAAAAATAAGCATTTTTGTAACTTCCAGACATAACTTGTGTGTAAGTGTATGGATCTCTCTGACATTGTACCACAAGGTTCCATATCACAAAGGGAATGCTGGGATTGATTTTGGGGGTAATTGTCTCCAAATTTTAGGAATTAGGGGCCAAAAAGGGGCAAAAAACAAGCATTTTTCTAGTTTCATGACAATAACTTGTTTGTAAGTGTATAGATCTTTATGAAATTGTACTACAAGGTTCCATATCACAAAGGGAATACTAAGATTGATTTTTGGGGTAATTTCCTCCAAATATTAGGAATTAGGGGCCAAAAAGGGGCAAAAAACAAGCATTTTTCTAGTTTCATGACAATAACTTGTTTGTAAGTGTATGGATCTTTATGAAATTGTACTACAAGGTTCCATATCACAAAGGGAAGGCTGGGATTGATTTTGGGGGTTTTCCCTCAAAATTTTAGTAATTAGGGGCCATAAAAGGGCAAAAAAAACATGCATTTTTCTAGTTTCAGGACAATAACTTGTGTGTAAGTGTATGGATCTTTATAAAATTGTACTGCAAGGTTCCATATCACAAAGGGAAAGCTGGAATTGAGTTTGGGGGTAATTGCCCTAAACGTTTAGGAATTTGGGGCCAAAAAGGGGCCAAAAAACAAGCATTTTTCTAGTTTCCAGACAATAACTTGTGTTCAAGTGTATGAATCTCTCTGAAATTGTACTGCAAGGTACCATACCACAAAGGGAAAGCTGGGATTGAGTTTGGGGGCGATGAATCATAAGGGGGTTCAAAAAATTGGGGGGGGGGGGGGGGGATTTTTTTTTCCCTTTTTTTTCTTTAACATTTTCCATTTTAAATTGGTTATTTCTGATTTATATATAAAAGCAAATAATAATGATATGGTTTGAATAGGCATACTTGTGAACCTCCCGACGGGAGTACAATAATCCCGTTTTCAGGGGTCTCCTCCCCCCTCCCGTTGAAAAAATCCTGTGTATGAAATTTTTCATGAATGAAAAATTTCTGCCCAACATAACATCTCAGGCATCTGGTGTAACTGACATTACCTGAAGTTATATTTTACCTGTAAATCAATTAACATGCATAATTATATGGCTTCACTTGTCAGCTTGGGTGTCAAACATACTGGTAAGCAACGATTTTTACCTCAGGCTAACTGTTGTTGTGTAACAAAAACTGTGTATTTATTGGGTTACTTCCATTGATTTATCCTGTTTTAAGTTACTTTCCTTTTAATAATGAAAATTTTTAAAAGAATATAAATAAAATATAAATTGAACAAATAATCATAAAAGGATGGTTATTAAATGATTTTAAATGTCTTAGGACAAATAAAAAAATAATAATTTGAAAATTATTTGAGGATTCTATACTTCCTTTTAAGGCTTAAATTGAAATTTATATAATAACTATGACCCTAACTTTACAGATAGAATGAATTTCTGAGTTTGCAAATAAAAACTCTTTGCAAGAGAAAAAAAAAAAAAATAAAAACTATTTGCAGACAGCTAAACAAATGTTCTGGTTGCAATGATTGTTTTATAGAATATGAAGAATAAAATTTAAAGAACATACTGGAAAAAAACAATGTTAGATTGAACATGTAGAATATAAAGATGGAGAAACTTTATAAGTACAAGGGTACTATAAACATAATAAATTGGTTGGAAAGTTGAAGAAAACACACTTTAAAAGACCATTTTTACAGCACACGGTTACATTTACAACAAAATTAATGTCGATTAAAAACCTCCTGATCTGAGTCCTAATCTCCTGACCAAAATTTCCCAATCTCCTGATCTGAGTTTCACAGTCCATCACATGTATGAATAGGTAAATTGAAAATTTTTAAGTTCTTAGACCACTTTCATTCTGTGTCAGAAACCTATGCGGTGTCAAATATTTAATTACAATCTAAATTCAGTGCTGTATCAAGCTTGAATGTTGTGTCCATACTTGCACCAACTGTTCAGGGTTCGACCTCTGCGGTCGTATCAAGCTGCGCCCCAGCGGAGCATTTTATTTTAGATAATATTCATACTTCAAATGAGTTTTAATGACACTCCTATCTCAGCTGTCTATTAACTGTCCATAAATAACCACAAAGTGTTGTTTGTTATTAAGGTGTTTCCCAGTATTTTACCCAAAAGAGCACATGTGACATGGTTGTCAACTAAAGGAAATTCCCATACTTTAAGATGCGGTAAGGGAATTCATTTGTTTTCTGGATTACTGCTTTTATTATACGACCACAAAAAAATTTTTGTGGTGGTATATTGGTATGACGTTGGCGTCGTCATCGTCCGAAGACACATTAGTTTTCGCACTCTAACTTTAGTTTAAGTGAATGGATTTCTATGAAATTTTACCATAAGGTTCAATACCACAAAAGGAAGGTTGGGATTGATTTTGGGGGTTATGGTACCAACAGTTAAGGAAAAAGGGGCCAAAAATAAGCATTTTTGTAACTTCCAGACATAACTTGTGTGTAAGTGTATGGACCTCTCTGACATTGTACCACAAGGTTCCATATCACAAAGGGAATGCTGGGATTGATTTTGGGGGTAATTGCCTCCAAATTTTAGGAATTAGGGGCAAAAAACAAGCATTTTTCTAGTTTCATGACAATAACTTGTGTGTAAGTGTATGGATCTCTCTGACATTGTACCACAAGGTTCCATATCACAAAGGGAATGCTGGGATAGAGTTTTGGGGTAATTGCCTCCAAATTTTAGGAATTAGGGGCCAAAAAGGGGCAAAAAAAAAGCATTTTTCTAGTTTCATGACAATAACATGTAAGTGTATGGATCTTTATGAAATTGTACTACAAGGTTCCATATCACACAGGGAAAGCTGGAATTGAGTTTCTGGGTAATTGCCCAAAAAGTTTAGGAATTAGGGGCCAAAAATAAGCATTTTTCTAGTTTCCAGACAATAACTTGTGTTCAGGTGTAATACCACCAAATCATAGTACGTCACATCCGGTTGCATACGAAAATAGGTCGAAAAAAAATATTCCCTTGAATTTGACAGTTGTAGATAATTGATCCTACATTTCATTGCAGTAAAACATTTCTGGGTCATAAACATATATCTTGGGTATTTCAAAGCACCATTTTTTTTTTATTTGGGGTTTCTATAGAATATTTTGGAAACTTGAGGTTACATGGTTACTAAAGCTTGTACACAGGTTAAAAAAGGGGGAAAATTTGATTGGTTAACTTCCAGTGATGGTTATTTTCTTATATGCAATGAAATGTTATGTGAATTTTTTTCTATAGTACTGGACAGGATCAAACTTTACTCATGCCAAGTATTTCTTTATTTGAAACAAAGATAAATTCTGTACAATTTTTTGAAAAGTGCAAATTTAACAAAGACTAATAGGGGAAAATCAATGGTGGTATTACACCTAATAAGAGTATGGATCTCTCTGAAATTGTACTTCAAGGTACCATACCACAAAGGGAAGGCTGGGATTGATTTTGGGGGTAATTCCCTCCAAATTTTAGTAATTAGGGGCCATAAAAGGGCAAAACAACAAGCATTTTGCTAGTTTCAGGACAATAACTTGTGTGTAAGTGTATGGATCTTTATGAAAATTGTACTGCAAGGTTCCATATCACAAAGGGAAAGCTGGGTTTGAGTTTGGGGGTAATTGCCCTAAACGTTTAGGAATTTGGGGCCAAAAAGGGGCCAAAAAACAAGCATTTTTCTAGTTTCCAGACAATAACTTGTGTTCAAGTGTATGGATCTCTCTGAAATTGTGCTGCAAGGTACCATACCACAAAGGGAAGGCTGGGATTGAGTTTGGGGGTGATGAATCAAAAGGGGGTTCAAAAAATTGGGGGGGGGGATTTTTTTTTCTTTAAAATTTACCATTTTAAATTGGTTATTTCTGATTTATATATAAAAGCAAATAATAATGATATAAGGTAAATTAATTTTTTATACGACCGCAAAAATTAAAAATTTTTTGGTCGTATATTGGTATGACGTTGGCGTCGTCGTCGTCGTCTGGCGTCGTCCGAAGACACATTGGTTTTCGCACTCTAACTTTAGTTTAAGTGAATGGATCTCCATGAAATTTTACCATAAGGTTCAATACCACGAAAGGAAGGTTGGGATTGATTTTGGGGGTTATGGTACCAACAGTTAAGGAATTAGGGGCCAAAAATAAGCATTTTTGTAACTTCCAGACAATAACTTGTGTGTAAGTGTATGGATCTCTCTGACATTGTACCACAAGGTTCCATATCACAAAGGGAAGGCTGTAATTGATTTTGGGGGTAATTGCCTCAAAATTTTAGGAATTAGGGGCCAAAAAAGGGGCAAAAAACAAGCATTTTTCTAGTTTCATGACAATAACTTGTGTGTAAGTGTTTGGATATTTCTGAAATAGTACTACAAGGTTCCATATCACAAAGGGAAAGCTGGAATTGAGTTTGGGGGTAATTGCCCGAAACGTTTAGGAATTGGGGGCCAAAAAGGGGCCAAAAATAAGCATTTTTCTAGTTTCCAGACAATAACTTGTGTTCAAGTGTATGGATCTCTCTGAAATTGTACTGCAAGGTACCATTCCACAAAGGGAAGGCTGGGATTGAGTTTGGGGGTGATGAATCATAAGGGGGTTCAAAAAATTGGGGGGGAGGATTTTTTTTTTTCTTTTTTTTTCTTTTTTTCCTTTATTTTTTCTTTTAAAATTTTCCATTTTAAGTTGGTTATTTCTGATTAATATTTAAAAGCAAATAATAATGATATGGTAGGAGATACACACCAAACAGGATGTGTAAATTATTATATAATAAGTATTGTGCAATAGCAAGAAATTTTCAATTGCACAGTATTGCACAATAGCAAGAAATCTTCAATTGCACAGTATTGCGCAATAGCAAGAAATCTTCAATTGCACAGTATTGCGCAATAGCAAGAAATATCCAATAGCACAATATTGCGCAATAGCAAGAAATTGTCAATTGTACAGTATTGCACAATAGCAAGAAATATTCAATTGCACAGTATTGTGCAAAAGAAGATACATGTACTTCGTATAAATTGCTTATTTCTTGATCAATTTCAATGGGGTTTTATTCTTGAATTCTTGGGGTTCTTTAATATGCTGAATCTAACCGTGTATTAAGTTTTTGGATTTTGGGCCCCGTTTTTAAATGGGTCCACATTGAGGTCCAAAGGGTCCAAAATTTAACTTTGTTTGATTTCATCAAAAATTGAATTATTGGGGTTCTTTGATATGCCGAATCTAACCGTGTATTTAGATTCTTAATTTTTGGTTCCGTTTCCAAATTGGTCTACATTTAGGTCCAAAGGGTCCAAAATTAAACTTAGTTTGATTTTAACAAAAATTGAATTTTTAGGGTTCTTTGATATGCTGAATCTAACTAAACATGTATTTAGATTTTTGATTATGGGCCCAGTTTTCAAGTTGGTCCAAATCGGGGTCCAAAATTAAACTTTGTTTGATTTCAACAAAAATTGAATATATAGGGTTCTTTGATATGCTGAATGCTGAATCTAACCATGTATTTAGATTTTTGATTTTTGGGCCCCGTTATCAACTTTGTCCACATTGAGGTCAAAAGGGTCCAAAATTAAACTTTGTTTGATTTCATCAAAAATTGAATTCTTGGGGTTCTTTGATATGCTGAATCTAACCATGTATTTAGATTTTGGATATTGGACCATAAAAGGTGAATGTCCAATTTAAAATTTTTAAGTTCTTAGACCACATTCATTCTGTGTCAGAAACCTATGCTGTGTCAAATATTTAATCACAATCCAAATTCAGAGCTGTATCAAGCTTGAATGTCCATACTTGCCCCAACTGTTCAGGGTTCGACCTCTGCGGTCGTATCAAGCTGCGCCCTGCGGAGCATTTTATTTTATATCTCGTAGCTAGTGCCCCTTTAAATTGTACCACATACAAAAAAAAAAATTTCTTCAAATGTTATTTTTTTTGTAGGAAAAAAAGGGGGGGGGGGGGGGGGGGGGGGGGCAATTTTTTTTCCACAAGAAATTTCAGAAATTAAAAAGAAAGTTTCTTCAAATATTATTTTTTTTGGGGAGGGAGGGGGGGCAATTTTTTACCTCAAGATTTAAGAAATTGAAAAGAAAATTTCTTCAAATATTATTGTTTTTGGAAAAAGGGGGGGGGGGGGGGGGGGGGGGGGCGTAAAATTTTTTAAAAAAAATTTACCCCAAGATTTAAGAAATTGTTAATTTTCTTAAGAAAAATTTGGGGTCACAATTTATTTTGCTAATTCTTTGTATATAGTCTGAAAACAGATTTACTAAGTATTGTGCAACAGCGAGAAATCTTCAATTGAATATAAATTCAAATCATATAACCAATTTCAAGTTCTTTGACTACATTTATTCTGTGTCAGAAACCTATAATGTGTCAAATATTTAATTACAATCCAAATTCAGACCTGTATCAAGCTTGAATATTGTGTCCATTTTTGCCCCAACTGTTAAGGGTTGGACCTCTGCGGTCGTATCCAGCTGCGCTCTACGAAGCAGTTTATTTTTTATTAGATTATTTTCATTGGTTGTCATGGGTTTATTTATGTCTGTCATATTGTTTGTTTGTTTTTGTGAATTGTTTTCATGTCAGAGCCTTTCATTGCTGAGTATACGGTATGGGTGTTTCTCTTTGTTGAAGGCCATATGGTGACCTATATTTGCTTATATCTTCGTCATCTCCTTATATTTATATAAAAAGAAGATGTGGTATGATTGCCAATGAGACAACTCTCCACAACAGACCAAATGACACAGAAATTAGCAACTATACCTATTAAAGTCATATCAGAATTTTCCTTAACAAGTATTACAGTAGAAAAGGACGCACAGTTACAGAGAAGACCTTTAGTATTTGATGATCCATCCTTTCACATCTTCAGCTGAAGACAGGAATTGGTACCAGCAAGATTCAATAAACAATGGAAGATATTTGGTTACAGTCATCAACGAAAACATCAATGAAGATAAATATTAAAGGGTTAACACATGATTAAACATTTTGGGTTACTAACTGCTTGTATAGAACTGTTCAGTAATGGACGATTGAAAATGATCCACATTACTAAGGAATATATGATTGTTGTAGATCATTAAGTAATGAGGATGACTGTCAGTTATGGGTTGTTTGTTATGATACATGATATGAAAAAATAAAATTTTGTACAAGGATGTATTTAGTATTTTTGTATTTTATAGACTTTTCAAACAAAACTGAAATCAAGAAGAATCATTTTTTTTATTTAGTGCTATATGAAATTAAAGGTTGAGAAGTACATTTCACACAAAAAAATCAGATAAAATCATATTTAAAAGACATTTGCCTTTTATTTGGCATCTTGTCACAGCCATTTTATTGACATTCCTGAGGGTTGATTCCCTGAGGTAGATTGCACAAGTTTGCATTGCTCTAGTTGCTTCAAGATCGAGTAAACTTATGTTTAGCTTAATTTCATGTTGAAATTATTTTAATTTGATTGAACCCTCCTCTTGCGCAATATCTCAATGTTTTCAAATCAATTTCCCTCTAAAATAACCCACTATTAAAGAGTTATATAACAGACTTTGTTTCCAGGCATAGTTATACAGTAGATGCTGTTTTGTCTAAAGTCAGTATCTTTTGATACCCTTGATTTTCAACCAAATATCAGCCCTTTTCCAAATGCAAAACAGGCTCTTTTTGTCCCAGTATCTTTCGATACCCTTGATTTTCAACCAAATAACAGCCCTTTTCCAAATGCAAAACAGGCTCTTTTTGTCCCATATGCCAAACAGGTTCATTGTTAGCAGGAAAGATACGACAGAAAAGATATGCTGATTCAGATCTTTAGAATGCCTTGAAGGAAATTAATTATAATAATACATGTACTTAGTTTAATTAAGTTAAAATCTGTCAGCAAGGTCGAGGTCAAACAGTTTTAACTTTTGAAGTCATATCACACATTAGCAACATTTGGATGCTTTGAAGGATATTAATACATTGTAATTTTTTTGCCCACCACCAGAGGGTTGGTGTGTCTGCAAGTTCAAAGTCAATAGTTTATAGATTGAGATGAATTCAAGGGACAAGAGATATCTTTTTGTGAGCTAACTTTGCTCGTAGTACATCTAGTCTGACACTTGGGGAAAAAACCTTAAAGCTTTATATTTTGAAGGGGAAAGTAAAATAACCTTTGTTTTGTATTAAACATTAAAATGGGGAACTAATACAAGCAGTATAAAAATATTGCAATTTGATGGGTTGTTTCAGAGTTATAAAAACAGTGAACTTGCTACAGCGTCCTTAACCTCCTCATGGTATTATGCTTCCCTCTGTGATGGAGGTCTTAGGTTAAGCGATAGCCAAACCAAGGACTTAAAAATTGGTATGTGCTGCTTCTCTGCTAAGCACGCATCAGTAAGGAGTAAGAGAATGTGTCTTGGTAGGAGACATGTCTCCTTTTGAACTAGCATGTTAAAAATCCTGCTCAGTGTATGGGTCTAGTACAAAGCAGGGTTCAAATTCCTTTGACATCGAGATGTTCTAGTCCTGATATGCTAGTATGTAGTATTTACCACTGGATATTAAACACCAATCTATACATATAGTCATTGTTCATAATTGATTGTGCAATTGTTCAAACAGCTCTTGCTTGAGAACATGGACTCAGATGGTCCTATAGAGTGTCTGTTAATCATTACAGACAATAAGAGCTATGAATTCATATGGGTAAATACTCCTGATGTTTATGTTTCATTTTTTTAAATTTTTAGTCAGATTATAACTTCTCACATTAATATAGTTCATCAAGATTATAATTTTATTTAATCTCTTAAGATTGTGTACTCCTTTAAAGAGGTAGGACCAATTTCCCTTGAAATTATTTCATCAACATTTTCAAAATGTTTTTCAATCTTTACTAAAACTTTATGGTTGAAACCTTTATTGTATTATGTCGTATTTCGGATCCTAGTTTTACTGTTTAAAGGACTGAAAATTCTTCAAAACTGCAATTTTAAAAGATATTTTTGCAAATTTCTAGTATATGTAACCTTGGAACCCTTTTACCAACCTAAACATGCAGAAATTAGAAAGTGTGCAGACAATCAGCCCAGTTTGAAATAAAACACTACCAAAAAACCAGTAATGTAACATAAATGCATAAAAACTCAGCAGTGGCAGCCAGTAGCTGTGAGGAGGACCAGATGCAAAGCAGTGATGATGTGAAGAATAGTACATGGCAATACCAACTCTAGAGCTGCATACTACATCATCGGTTGCTAGAGGACACACTACACACTCCTTGTCCCATATGCCAAAGCATCAACATACAGCCTTTCTTCCTCCCCGACAGTATACAGATATGGAGTAACCTTAAATACCAATAATTTTTCTTATAAATTTATATGGTGTGTGATACATAAATTTCTGTTTTAATAATATAATATAATCACAGGGTCACCAATTTCATTTTTGGTGTTTTAACCATCTTTTATCTAGTTGGTAGCAAAAAATGTCATAAATGAACGTTTTACAGCTTACAACATGATGATGTTATGCTTATTTCAACTTTTTGTGGTATTTTTCACCATGAATACCACTTTAAATGATGTATACAATAAAAATGAAGTTTGTTAAATTATTATATTACATCATTAAAGCAGAAATTTATTTATTAACATCATATCAATTTTTAAGGAGTATGGGTTTGAAATTGGAAGATTTGATGATTAGAATGTTTTTCGCCAACATATGTGCTTTCTATGGTGTGTACCTGTTTTAAAAGAGTTCATTTAGTAATATTTCAGAAAATAAAAGATAAATGCATAATTTTTTATGCCCCACCTGTCCCGCTTCAGGTTAAAGTTTTTGGTCAAGGTATTGTATTATGAAGTTGAAGTCCAATCAACTTGAAACTTAGTACACATGTTCCCTATGGTATGATCTCTCTAATTTTAATGCCAAATTAGAGTTTTTACCCCAATTTCATGGTCCACTGAACATAGAAAATGATAATGCGAGTGGGGCATCCGTGTACTATGGACACTTTCTTGTTCAATTTTCTGTTATTGTTCAATGAACAAGCCAAAGTAGTATGCAAAATTTTACCAAAATCTGTGAGCAAGAGGTTTAAGGATACACAGTTACCATTTTTCCTAAATTTCGCCAAAATGCATTAAGTTGAGTCAATGCCTATCCATACAATCAAAGGAAGCATTTACATTGTTTAAAGAACGTACAGTCATGACAGTGTCATTAAGAATATTTTTAAAAACACTAAGAAAGCCATATACCATTGTCGTTATACGCCATATTAAAAACATTCAGGTAAAGTCAAGTTGTGATTAACATAAGCTGAGCAGAAAAAAATGTTACTATAACTGCAAGAATGTCACATCAATGATTATTCACAAAAAGACGTTTTTTTTCATCAGTGGATGCAATGTAAACTCAAGAAGTGGGCAGAGAATCAGGTCGAAAGAAGTGACAAACGGTTTTCAAAATTATACTTATGAAATAAGTATTGCATTTGCTGTTAATACCTTTGAACCCAAGTATCTCAAGAAAGAAAGATACAATTGCTCTTCTTTGTATGTTTTTTTAATAAAATGAAGCAAATGCTGTAACTATTACTGTAATTTTTTAGCCTAATGATTGTCAGCTGATGGGATTAGCTACCAAATATTACAAAAAGCAATATTGAATATCTCATTTGCCATTTTGAATACCGGTATTGCATTTGTGCTTTTGCATGAAAGAATTACTTATCTATGTATGACCCAATATGATATACCATAGACTGCAGCTTTTACAGGAAATGAAGTTGTATACCCAGTAACTTAAACAAAACAAAAGAAGAAGAAAGTAACCATTTGAAAGAAACCAACCAACTTGAACAGTTTGTTCTACAGCAAGTAGTTGAGCAATTTATTTTCCAAAGAATCTTAATCACTGAAATATTCAATAAATTCACAGCAATTTTGTTTCATTTGTATGATTTAGAAAATGCATGGAAATGACTGGTTTTAATTGAATACCATCTGAAAATTTGTCCATATTTGTCAAAAACTTTGACATCTTCTCATACTTCATGCTCCTGACAACGTAATCTCTTACCACAAAAAGACTGCTGAAGTGTTTCTTACAATTTCCTATAGGAGTGTCAAAATACGCAATGTTGTACATATAATTTTATATATTGAAAAATACTTTTGTTGTTCTGTGATTACATTTTTAATGTAAAATAACTTGATAATGACAATCTCCCGAACATCATTTCTTGTTCACATTGTAAAATCAAAGTTGATGCATTATCCATACATTCAAAGTCCATTCAGCCTTCATTGGCACAATAGTGCTTTTTCTTTTATTCTTTAATATAGATGAAATTCTGATGGCTTTACTTTTCAATTACTGTTTCCAAGTCCAACAGAGAAGAAACTACTGTTGCAAAGAGAAGGCAAATATGAAGACCACTCATTAAACAATGTTACAATATAAGACAACTAGTACCAAAGAATCTGTTGTTTTGCATACACATTTATGTTCAATCCATCATGAATCTGGCCAATTCTATGTCGTTTTAATTATGCTGACGGTTTATATTCATGCATATATATCTATGAATTAGTAACAATTTTTGAAGTTATAATTCATACACCATAATCTCCAGAAAAACAGTGAGGACTAAGTTTATAATATCCCTTATTTTCTAGAATTCCCTGCGGTTGACAAATCCATGCATCTGATGTTATATTTTGCCACTGATATAACTGTTGCTTTAAATGATTTATTATTCCTGTGTATTTCTCATTTCTTATCTGATTAATACGTTCTTGTGGATCTGTTGACAAATCAAAGAATTCCCACTGATCTCGGTAGTAATACTGTTTTAAATTTTTATACCAATGTGTTGATATGCCTTCTCTAGTCCTATTCAACAAATCTTGAAAGGTGTTTGAAATGAAAAAGTCCTGGTCAATTTGAAAAGGCATCAGGTAATTCAAATTATGTAAAAGTTTGAAATCTTTTGTACGAATAGATCTCATTGGATAATACATGGTCACTTCATGCAAATTATGACTGGTAAATATGGCTTCTTCTGATTCTCTGTCTTTATTGCATAGCAATGGCAATAATGATTTTCCTGTCAGAATAACTGGGTTATGGAGAAGCTTGTACTCTGGATACTGAATGTTGAACCAATTAAGCACTGTAGGAACAATATCAACATGACTCACTAATTTCTGTATTTCCTGAGAAAATAAAATCACATGTTATATTGTATGTCTCCATCAACTTTGAGTTTCAAATTCATTGCTTTATTCACAATATAAAATTTTTTTAAACCTTCAAAATATTTAGTAAAATAAAATTGTATTTATTTCAAATAATAAGATATATATAATGTTTTGTCGACTCCTATATTTTAATTTTGGCATTGCACAAGATTACATGAGGATGTGTACCCAGTATCCCAGGGAGGAGGAAATTAAGAGGGGCGCTGTGCCCCACCCCTGAAATTATGAGCCCCTGTGCCCTTTTTGTGTGTCCTTGTGCCCTTTTGTGTGTCCTTGTACCCTTTTGAGCACCCCTGTGCCTTGTTTAAGTAGATGAAGTCTCAGTTAAACAACTTTCTTCTTCCCCTAATCTAAACCCCTTAAACATTACATAAACATGCTCCAGTAAAAACAAGATAACCTAGAAAAAACCCTTTGCCTTGTATGAACAGTGAACTTAGAAGGACCATAAACCCTAAACACATGCTTTATACACAATATACCAAGCACCAAATTAAAAAACATGGGAGAAATTCAGATATAAACAGAAAAATTTGAATATTTTAATTCTTTTTTCTCTACTGTTGCAAATAAAATCAGGGATACTGTGATATATAACCCTTCTAATCAGCCTAGCATTGTGGAAATAAAAAATCACAGCGGTGAGAACACCCACTTTAATTTTCAGAAAAAAAACTACGGACAAAGTTGAGAAAATTCTTAATAAAATCAATACAAATAAAATGCTTCGCTGGGGCGCAGCTTGATACGACCGCAGAGGTCGAACCCTGAACAGTTGGGGCAAGTATGGACACAACATTCAAGCTTGATACAGCTCTGAATTTGGATTGTTATTAAATATTTGACACAGCATAGGTTTCTGACACCAAAAGAATGTGGTCTAAGAACTTGAATTTTTTTAATTTACCTATTATGGTCCAATGTCCAAAATCAAAATACATGGAGAGATTCAGCATATCAAAGAACCCCATATATTCAATTTTTGTTAAAATCAAACAAAGTTTAATTTTGGACCCCAACTTGGACAAACTTGAAAACTGGGCCCATAATAAAAAATCTAAACACATGTTTAGATTCAGCATATCAAAGAACCCCAAGAATTCAATTTTTGCTAAAATCAAACTAAGTTTAATTTTGGACCCTTTGGACCTTAATGTAGACCAATTTAAAAAACAGGACTTAAAATTAAAAATCTAAATACATGGTTAGATTTGGAATATCAAAGAACCCCAATAATGCAATTTTTGAAGAAATCAAACAAAGTTTAATTTTGGACCCTTTTGATCTCAATATGAACCAATTTGATAGCGGGGCCCACAAATAAAAAAATCTAAATTCATGGTTAGATTCAGCATATCAAAGAACCTCATATATATTCAATTTTTGTTGAAATCAAAAAAAGTTTAATTTTGGACCCCAACTTGGACCAACTTGAAAACTGGGCCCATAATCAAAAATCTAAACACATGTTTAGATTCAGCATATCAAAGAACCCCAAGAATTCAATTTTTGTTAAAATCAAACTAAGTTTAATTTTGGACCCTTTGGACCTCAATGAAGACCAATTTAAAAAACGGGACCCAAATTAAATATCTAAAAACACGGTTAGATTTGGCATATCAAAGAACCCCAATAATTCAATTTTTGTTAAAATCAAACTAAGTTTAATTTTGGACCCTTTGGACCTCAATGAAGACCAATTTAAAAAACGGGACCCAAATTAAAAATCTAAAAACACGGTTAAATTTGGCATATCAAAGAACCCCAATAATTCAATTTTTGATGAAATCAAACAAAGTTTAATTTTGGACCCTTTTGACCTCAATATGAACCAATTTGATAGCGGGGCCAACAAATAAAAAATCTAAATACATGGTTAGATTCAGCATATCAAAGAACCTCATATATTCAATTTTTGTTGAAATCAAACAAAGTTTTATTTTGGACCCCAATTTGGACCAACTTGAAAACTGGGCCCATAATCAAAAATCTAAATACATGTTTAGATTCAGCATATCAAAGAACCCCATATATTCAATTTTTGTTGAAATCAAACAAAGTTTAAATACTGGACCCTATCTTGGACCAACTTGAAAACTGGGCCCATAATCAAAAATCTAAACACATGTTTAGATTCAGCATATCAAAGAACCCCAAGAATTCAATTTTTGCTAAAATCAAACTAAGTTTAATTTTGGACCCTTTGGACCTTAATGTAGACCAATTTAAAAAACAGGACCCAAAATTAAAAATCTAAACACACGGTTAGATTTGGAATATCAAAGAACCCCAATAATTCAATTTTAGATGAAATCAAACAAAGTTTAATTTTGGACCCTTTTGACCTCAATATGAACCAATTTGATAACGGGGTCCACAAATAAAAATTCTAATTACATGGTTAGATTCAGCATATCAAAGAACCCCATATATTCAATTTTTGTTGAAATCAAACAAAGTTTAATTTTGGACCCTTTGGACCTTAATGTAGACCAATTTGAAAACTGGACCCAAAATTAAAAATCTAAATACACTGTTAGATTCGGCATAACAAATAAATAAATGTGATCAAAGATTTTACAAATCTAATGCGCCATACTGTGCAATTAAAAATTACTTCTTGAAATTTTTCAATATTTGAAATTTGAAAAAAAAAAATATTTGAAGAATAATTCTTTTTAATTTCTGAAATCTGAATTGAGAAAAAATTGACCCCCCACAATTTTTTGTTATCCCCCCCCTTTTTTCCCCAAAAAAGTTCTTTCCCTCAAGATATGGTCATAATCTCAATTCAAATTTCCAATGGAGTTGGCAACCATAATTACCCATTTAAATTTACCATAGCGCTAACTTAATCTATTTTATAATAGAATTAAAAATATAGTGTCAAATCTTTCATATGGATTTTTTTGTAAAAAAAAAAGATGCAACATTTGCAGATATTTTTACTGGTCTTCCTTTATAAATATGCATTTCTTTACACATAATTTAAAAGCAGTGTAAGGGAAGTAACCAAAACGTTGTATTGGATTACCTCCCTTACACTGTTTTAAATTATCTTTATTGTTCATTAACCATTACTTTATACATAATTTAAAAGCAGTGTAAGGGAGATAATTTCAATGATGTATTTGATTTATCTCCCTTACACTGCTTTAAATTATGTTTTGTACTAAAGTATTTGTCCATTAACCAGGACAACCTTGTTTTTCCCCCTTTTTTGCCCCTAATTCATAAACAGTTTGAGCCATAACCCCCCCAAGCAAATCCTAACCATCCCTTTGTGGTATGGAAACTTGTAGTATAATTTCAGAGAGATCCATACACCGTTCCACAGTTATTGTCTGGAAACTAGAAAATGCTTATTTTTGGCCTCTTTTTGGCCCCTAATTCCTTAACTGTTGGTACCATAACCCCCAAAATCAATCCCAACCTTCCTTTTGTGGTATTTAACCTTATGGTCAAATTTCAAAAAGATCCATTCACTTAAACTAAAGTTAGAGTGCGAAAACCAATGTGTCTTCGGACGACGACGACGACGACGCCAACGTCATACCAATATACGACCACAAATTTTTTTTGCGGTCGTATAAAAAGGCTACTGGTGTTGATGATATACCAGCTAAAGTTGTCAAATTTAGTACAGCTGTTGTTTCATCTCAGCTGACATCATTAATTATTAAAGAACCTTTGTGAGCACGCTCACATACCCCACGCCCCCACATTGTCACTGGGCAACATTCTTACTAAAGTTAAATGATAAATATTTCTTGTGGATATGCACATCTACATATTATGTCCCCATTATCTACAAAGTTTATAAAAATCTGTTGTTTAGTTTCAGAGGAGTTACAATGACAAACTGTTGCAGTAGAATAATAAGGCCAAAATTCCAAGTTCAAAGTGACTTAACTCCTAGAAAAAAAATTGAATCATAATTTCCTGTCGATATGCACGTCTACATAGTATGTCCTTATTATCTACGAAGTTTCATGAAATTCTGTTGTGTGGTTTCAGAGGAGTTGCGATGACAAGAACAGGACTGACGGACTATAGTATATCGAGTCCAATAAGTTAAAAGGGGCATAACTCCTAGAAAAAAAATTGAATCATAATTTCCTGTCGATATGCACGTCTACATAGTATGTCCTTATTATCTACAAAGTTTCATGAAATTCTGTTGTGTGGTTTCAGAGGAGTTGTGATGACAAGAACAGGACTATCGGACTATAGTATATTGAGTCCAATAAGTTAAAAGGGGCATAACTCCTAGAAAAAAAATTGAATCATAATTTCCTGTCGATATGCACATCTACATAGTATGTCCTTATTATCTACAAAGTTTCATGAAATTCTGTTGTGTGGTTTCAGAGGAGTTGTGATGACAAGAACAGGACTGTCGGACTATAGTATATTGAGTCCAATAAGTTAAAAGGGGCATAACTCCTAGAAAAAAAATTGAATCATAATTTCCTGTCGATATGCACATCTACATAGTACGTCCTTATTATCTACAAAGTTTCATGAAATTCTGTTTTGTAGTTTCAGAGAAGTTGTGATGACAAACTGTTGCAGAAGTATATTGAGGCCAATAAGTGCAAAGGGGCAAGCTCCTAGAAAAAAAATTGAATCATAATTTCCTGTCGATATGCACATCTACATAGTACGTCCTTATTATCTATAAAGTTTCATGAAATTCTGTTGTGTAGTTTCAGAGAAGTTGTGATGACAAACTGTTGCAGAAGTATATTGAGGCCAATAAGTGCAAAGGGGCAAGCTCCTAGAAAAAAAATTGAATCATAATTTCCTGTCGATATGCACATCTACATAGTACGTCCTTATTATCTATAAAGTTTCATGAAATTCTGTTGTGTGGTTTCAGAGGAGTTGCGATGACAAGAACAGAACTGACGGATTGATGGAAGGACGGACGGACAGACAGACGGACGGGTCAA